GGGAAGAGATAGCAGTAGTAGAACCTCGCAGCACTCTGCAAGAGTGGCCAGATGCGGTTCCGGAGAATGGACTCATCCCGTGAAAATCGATAATGCTCGATCAGATTAGCCGACAGCCATGCTCCACCCATAGGCCACATCGTCCAGGTTGTGCCATTATCGACGGGGGCTGCATCGCCCCAGAGGTCGGTGTTGTGGTGAAGGACATACCCGCCGTTGCTGCAGTGGTACATGCTTTCGGCTACATCAAGCCCTCGGTCATGCACAACATCCAGCAGATCAATGAACGGGGAAAAGGTATCAGCGAGGTTAGTGACCTCTGCCGGCCAGTAGTTCATTTCGAGATTGATGTCGATGGTGAATCGCCCACCCCAGGCGGGATCGAAGTCCTGGTTCCACAGCCCCTGTAGATTGGCCGGTAGGGCTGGTGACTCGGTGGCGCGCGAGGAGGCGATCAATGAGTGCCGGCCAAAGTGGAACATGAGGACGACCAGCTCCGGGTCGCTGTCAGGATCAATGCGATAGTTCACCAAGCGGCTGTCGGTGGGCAGGTTGCCGGCTGAACCAGAGGATCCCAGGTTCAGGTCCACTCGCTGCGCCAAAGCGGAGTAATCGGCGATCGCATTTTTCTTGACGGCGACAAAGCCAGAGCTGCAAGCAGTGTCAAGCTTTGATTTAATCTCTGCTTCCCAGTTTTCTTGAGCTGAATAGCGATAGGACGTTTCGGTGTCGATGAAGATGTCGATTGTCGAAGCGTTCCGGACTACGAGGGATGTGCCATTGCTTGTAGCCCGCCCTATCAAAGTCAGCGTGTCAGGTACAGATTAGATCGCTCTACTACGGACCATCAGAAACCACCCTGGCCTCGGCCGTAAACTGAATGGGGTTCGAAACGTTATTCGAGTAAGCCCTGAGCGTCAACAACCCCCCGTCATGCGAGAGGGTTGCATTATTGGACACAACATATCGATCTCGAACCAACGAAGAAGCCACATTCAAGCCTCCGGGCTCGCTCGACGACAAGCGCACAGCGACTACGTTATCCGGATGACTCGCCAGATACTCTCGCCTATCTTTATCAGCCAATATCCGCTTGAACACACCAGAGAAACATACCTATACCGCACAGCTCGATAAGTATATTCCACCACCGCCATACCACTCCTTAAATCCAGATATCGCGTATAATTACTGATTCCCGCCTCGTCATGCCCAAAATCCAGGACCAAAGACCCCAGCGCACTGTAGGACTGCGGCGAATCCGGGATGCCAACCATATTTGCTAGAGTAGCATCATTCCCCTCCGTCATGTTCCCCTCTGCCAGGAGCGACCGGACTGGCCAAAGGGCGTCATACGAGCGGGGATTGACACGGTTGATGAACGGGCCACTCCAGATGGAATTCTCATTGAGGGTGACATTCTCGGTCGCAGTACCCCAGATGGCGGCGCCTAGTCTGCCATTACCAATGGGGAGGGTGGAGGTGAAGTTGTTGGCCGGGGTAGTGTACCAGGAGACGTGGGAGGCGTCGAAGTTGGCGAGAGCCAGAGGAATGGCCGCTACTAAGGCGTTGTAAAGCAGGCGTCGCATCATGAGCAAAGTATCGGTGGAGGTGAGAAGGACATCATTGACGGGTAGGAGATGAAGAGTATATAGATTAGCCGTGCAATTATCCGGAAGTGGGGATGCCTGAACATTGAAGCAATCACGATGCATGAGGATACAGAGAAATGGTGCAACGGAATGACAGGGATTGACGGGATTCCACAAATCGGAGACATAAGAAACGGCGAAGACGCGCCCTGATCGGCAGCACAATTAACAATCTGACTGCAGCATGATCCTTTTAACCCACCCCAAATTTATCCGGCTGTTTCCTGGCTGCACCATCCATGGGATGCAAACCTGGATCAGCCTGCGAAGCAATATCTGCAAATGACGAGACTCGGCTCTGAATTGACACCAGTGTCGCTCAAAGGAGGAAACCACGACAAGGTGGAACGCTTTCATATGATAACTTTTGTTTACATTGTGTTTGTTAATTACATGATCGGTAAGGCCAGAACAAGAATCCCAATTTCCACGTCAGGCACCTTCCTCCTCCACAAGGCCTGAAGGAACATCCAGACCATATGCGGCGTTGTCTGCCTGTCCCTCCGGACGGTGCTGGGTTTTCTCGCGTGTGTCGACCCCCAACCACAACAGATCCGGACGGCTATAATGGCCACAGGCATCCACAAAGTGCCGGCACGTCAATATCATATCCAGATCCAGATCTGCATAGACGAATCCTTCTTCATTAGCGGGCAATGGCTCCGTCAGCCGGCGCCCATCGGGAGCGATGACGGCGGACGCGCCTCCTCCCAGGGTATCCCACGGCGGAGACAAGTTCATCTTCTTTACGCATGTGGGACCCAGCACGGCGGTCGTGAGCAGGACGAACGACGCCGACTCAAGCGCATATACCTGGCTCGCACCCGTTCCACCTGAGGCCCATGTCAGCTCTCCGCGGTAGATCTTGCGCGTCTTGAATGGGGTCTTACCTTCCTGTGACATGCCCCAGAGTGACTCGCCCCCCATATGAGGATGCAGAACAGGCCAGGCCGAGACATGAATTTCCTCCCCTTGGATCATGGTGTGATATTTGAGCAGCGGCTGGATATGTTCCCAGCACGCGAGCGCACCCACTTTACCAATGGGCAGATCGACTACATTTAGGAGACTCCGCCCGGAAGATTCTCCAAACACGGTGCGTTCCATGTGAGTGGGTTTCATCTTGCGCCGGCGCATCACAATCTTGCCCGTGGAGTCGATGGTGCACTGGCCGATGTAGAGGGAGTTGCCATCACGCTCGGAAAGGCCGAGGACAACTGTGATCTTGTGCTGGGCAGCGGCATTGCAGATGCGACGCATGTGCTCCGAGTCATATGACAAGGAATTCTTGAGGTAGGTGGTGAATAGGCCCATGTCGACGGGGCGACACCTGCCCAATGGTCAGTACACGGTCGCGGACTGGCGAGGGGGATGAAGCCATGCTGACCAGATCCATGCTGGATACCCCGGGAGCCAACATTCGGGGAAAGTAATCAGCTGGGCGCCATTGCCGGCCGCCTCGGCGATCAATCGGCAGGTTTTATCGACGGTGGCGTGCAGATCCAGCCAGACGGGCTCGTGCTGGGTCACGGCGACACGAACCTTGGTGGAAGCTGTCATGGTTGCTAATAAAGAGGTCTGTGCGTTGTGTTTGGTGAGAAGATTGATTTTGAGTGAACTGTTCAAGTCAAGCGTGAGAACACCAGATCTTTATATGATGCTGAGTGTCATGCGAACAAGGCTGAAGTGATGAATGGCCAAATAGAGGTCAAAGCGAGAAGCTGAAAGGGACTCGGGCAGCAGAATACGATCAGAAGTGTGTGTCTACGCGAGATTGGACCATGCTGGTGAGAAAGTTGAGGCTCGCTATAGGCCCTGGGAAAGAGCGACTACTACTACTACTAGCCATCTACATGGTCGTGGAGATGAAGATAGGGGGTGGTCTATTCACTTACTTAGTATTCGGTTGGAAACCACCCCATCCGAGAGATTCCGATTGGCCCGATCGCGAAGAGCAGTGAAGTCGAGGCAATGAAGATGGATGGGGATGCGGCGCAGCTGCTTTTTAGGGGATGGGGTCCGTCGTAGTGGGAGGAGTGGATCATCTGAATCTGACACTCTATCCACTTCGCTAATAGCCCCCCCTGGGAATGAAACATTGTGTCCAATAACACTGCTCTCTCCTGATCGAGATAGGACCAGTACGGTCGGGGGTACATGTCATGGTCGTGGTTTACAGTAGAGGCTACGGGTCTTCCAGGGCGAAGTCTCGCCCTCACTACCTAACATGTGAATACCTTAGGCTAACTAGCAGGAATTAAAGATGACTGCGAGAATACTTACGACCACTCTGGCATATTATTTTTAGTGAGGAAGAAGAATGGATCCATTTGAGGGACGGAAGATAGAGCCACGCACCTCGTGGCCAATCAGGTCACGGGACCCAACGGGATTCTTGGCCCCTTCCAGAATTTGACCAGAACCGAACCCAAGGGATGGCCAGGATGCCTCCTACTTCTCCTCGGCCAAGTACATGCCTCACTCCCTGACCGCGCTAGAACTTTCGATGGCTGAAAACAGAACTGCCCGTGTAACGGATACTACCTTTCCATAATAGCATCATTCGAGATCTAGCCAGACTATGGTCTCATCTGACGACGTCAGACAGTTGAAGCGGTGAGATGTGGCTTCCTAGCAAGCCTACCAGCCTAACCTCCGCGGGATCTGGACGTACAACAACAGAGATGTCTTAAAAGGAGGCGTACTGAACGGCTACTTACTGGCATGAAATGCCCGAGGGGGATGAGATGTGGCAGGGTACTGGGCAAACGGGTTGAACTTTATTAATAACCCGGGAGATTGAACGGTACCTAAATTCACTCATACTACAGTGCGTGCGTCTGTTGCTAAGTATTTAGACATCAGCTCGCGGGCTAAGAGGTCGCAGAGAGGCACCCCGGACACTGGAGCGTGATTTTCATGGGACTCTTGCCAGAATGTTGGCTGTGCTACGTAAGATATGCGAGATGTACTGCAGCCCACAGCTACCTACATACATGCGGGCTTTTTGTCTCTGCTCCTGAAGCAGTGATCGAGCGGCCTGGACCTGGCCATGATGAGGATGTTGGGCCATGGCACCATCTTCACCTTGTCAGGTCTGGTATTCCCGGTTTTTGTGGGAGTATCCATGTGCTGCTAACCGAAGTCAACTTGGCCAACTCACAGTTGCCTACGACGCTCCTCCCCATGCTGATCGCTCGCTAAATTCAGTGATTCACAACTTGCCCATCCGGCACGTTCCAAACTAGGGTTACTGGTAAAAAGAAGAATAAGACAAAAAAAAAAAAAAAAATAGGCTTATATAGGCTCACCTACGACAGGAGGTCCACCCGTAGCATTTGGCATTCCGGTGTGACGGATTGTGATGCACTTGTCTGGAGGTACACTCAGTGGACAGAGTCCGCGCGAGGGGTGGCCGGCTCACTGGAGGCCGCGCGCCCAAGAAACCGGGTCATGGTTGGACTTGACAAAAGGCCACTGGTAGATGCAGGACGCATTCTCTAATAAGTGTTAGTAAGTACTTTGTTCTGCAGCTTCTGATTAGTGACAATGGCCGGGGAAGCTGCACGAGGCTGACATAAGCGGTACGCAAAAAGGCCGTTGCTGAAACAGCAACAGCAGCATGAAGAACCCACTGCTTATCTACCACAGCAGTCCTGGACCATCCCAATACAATGATGATCCACGTCTGAGGCCGGTTTTGGAACCATTTCCCTGAATCACTGGGAGAGAGGTCATCCCCGCCCCACCGCGGGAGATACACACTGAGGAACACGCGGCGGCGTTCCCTAAGCTTTTGTATCGCCTCAATTCCGCGCTAATCTCAACTTGTTGGGAATCTGTCTATCCTGCCAAGGCCGCAGTGTCAATGCAGGTGGCTGGTCTCAATATGGAAGCTCGAAGGCTGAGCGGTGGCTTCCAGAACCAGCCGGGCTCTTCTGGATTGTCCCTGGAGGTGAATCCAACCTCCAACATTGCATCAGTCACCGCTGCGGCATGAGCTGGTGCCGAAAGCCGCTCCCCAGAAGACCATGGCAAGTTTGCGTGAGTTTTGGCACTTTGGACCCAAACTTTGATGAGCCTTATTCTTGAATCTTGCGCCATCGGCCTCCCTTGCACGACCATCATACCGTCGCGCGCTCACACCTGACCCATGTAGACCGAGAGTTTCGGGACCCATCCAACATACAGGGTCTTGAATGGATATGCCGATTTCATGTAAACGCCACGGAGCCGGACCTTGGTATCAGGCCTGGGTCTGGGGCATTCCAACCTCCTCACACGAGCAAGGAGGACCGGTGGCTCGGAGACCCGCGCTGGCGTCGATATACCCCAGAATTGATAGCGACAATGAGGGCTTATTTTCCCTTCCACTTCATAGCCTGCATGCTCACGCCATGATTCTCCTATGTTTGACAACCAGCTAGGCAAGCAGGATTAGCCCCTCGCACAGGCAAGGGATTCGCTTGTCTATACCTGCCCGAATAACCGAGCAATCGTGACTGCGGCAGAGAGAGAAGCCAATGGTATGCGCTTGGATGACCGCTTCAACATGGGTTGGCACCCAGTTAATCCTGAAGCATTGCGATGGCGAGCCCGAGGCACAACGGCGTCCGTGGAGGAAAGAGTATATGAGGGGAAGCTCCCGAGCTAGTTGGACCTGCTGAACCAAAGATTCCACCCAACACTCATAGTAGCCTTAGCTCCTGCTTGTCTGCTTTTCTTCTACAATGTCACCGTCGCTACTTATCCAAGAGGCTCCGGGAAATGGGTGGTACACCGGACTGGGCCTGGCTGAGCTCCTGGAACGGCAGGCTATCGTTCGCGGCACAGCCATCGCCATTGAAGAAGGCCCGCGCGAAGTCACATACGGCGAACTGCACGAAAAAGCACTCTTTGTCGCCGACCAGGTCAATAGTATCCTTCATGATGACCCTTCCCCAGTCGGCATCATTGTCCCGCGCAGTTTGAATCACGTGTTATCGCAGGTTGCTGTGATCTATTCGGGCCGAGCTTGTGTTCCGTTGGACCCCAAGCTCCCCGACGAGATGCTCAAGAACATGCTCGAAAATCTGGGCTCAACCCTTGTCATCACGGATATTCTACAACAGCATCGACTACCGGGCGTCAAGCATCTGGTGGTTGACCACCGCGTGGTTCCTGAAACCTTTGATGTTAACATTGCCCCAAGTCAGAATGGGCCGCAGACATGCTCTCATGTGTTCCACACCTCCGGTACAACCGGCAAGCCAAAGGCAGTCGAGGCCTTTGCAGAGGGGATGATCAACCTTTGCCTCGATCCAGCGGACCTGATTCGGAAGGGACAGCGGGTTGGACACGGCTCCAACGTCATCTTTGATACCTCGCTGGTGGAGATCTGGGGCCCCTTGCTGCGCGGAGCAACCATGGTTATAATCCCCCAAGAGACTGTCCTCGATCCCCCTGCTCTTAGCGACTTCGTCAAGCAGAAAGAACTCAATGTGCTGCAACTCACAACCTCCCTGCTCACTGTGACGGCGTATGCCTGTCCGGATGCTTTCTCGACCTTGGACACCCTTATAACCGGGGGTGAGGCGATCAACTGCCAGACAATCCAATCCATCTTCGATGCAGGAGCCCCAGGCCGCATCATCAACGGCTATGGTCCGACGGAAGCCAGCGTTTATGTTTTGTACCACGAAGTCTCGGAGGAGGAGGCCCGCAGGGGCGAAATCCCAGTGGGAAAGCCGTTCGGCGACGTGGAGGTATTCCTCGTTGATGATAACTTGAACACGGTCAAGCCGGGCGAGGTCGGCGAGCTACTGGTCTCTGGCGTGGGTGTCGCTGGGGGGTATATTGGGGATCCTGAAAAGACGGCAAAGAGCTTCGTGGTCCTTCCCCAACTGCAGCGGAAGGTGGAGCGCGGACCCAACCACATCTATCGAACCGGTGACTTGATGCGTGTGGATGAGAAAGGAGTATATTACTACCTCGGCCGGAAGGATAACCAGATCAAGATCCGTGGTCAGCGCGTGGAGCTGGAGGCCTTGGAATCGGCCCTGGTTGGTACGGGCCTGGTGAGCGCGGCTGTGGTGGTCAAGATCACGCCGGAAGAGGTCGGCCGTGGCCAGTTTCTGCTGGCCTACTGCATTCCTTCCTCCCCAGATGTCGCCAATGGTGCCATTATGAAAGCCTACATGGAGCAGGCACCACATCTCATGGTCCCCCGTCTGGAGCTAATTGACATCCTCCCCCTTCGCTCCACCGGCAAAGTTGACCGGAGGGCCCTGGAAGAACAGTATTACCAGAAGCTCAAGCGATCACGGGCTAATGGAGCTAATGGAAATTTCAACACGGGCAGTAACGCCGCTAAACTGGAGTACATCTGGATTGACGTGTTTGGTCTCACTGTTGAGCATCTGCGCCCAACCGACGACTTCGTGGCTATGGGTGGAACGTCCTTGATTGCTGCCACGATGATCGCTCGCATTAACCAAACCTTTGGGATCTCATTGCGGGCTCAGATGCTCTACGAAAACACCAGCTTCGAGAGCCTGACACGGCTCGTCACCAACATCCAAGTTCATGGCGATGACTCGAGCATTCAGGCCGAACAGGAGGTCTGGCTACAAGACTCCAGGTTGGGCGAGAACCTACGGCCTATCGGAGGCGTTATCCCGCACTGGCAGGACAAACACGAAGGCAGAATTTTCCTGACGGGAGCAACAGGCTTTGTGGGCGTGTTTCTCCTCGCCACCCTCGTGAAGCGGCCTGATGTCAAGAAGGTGGCCTGTTTGGTACGCGCCCACGATGAGCCCTCAGCCCGGGCACGTCTAGAGAAGACTATGGAGAAGTATAGTCTCTACGCAAACATGGACAAGGTCATCGCCCTGCCAGGCAATTTTGGACAGCCCCGGTTGGGTCTGTCTCCGGAGCAGTATGACTACTTTGCCACATGGTCTAGTGTGATCTTCCATCTCGGAGCCAAGGTCAGCTACGTGGCTCCTTATTCCTCCCACCGCCAGGAGAATACGATCGGGACCTTGAACATGCTCGAGTTTGCCACTCATCGGCGGACCAAAGCCATGCACTACTCGTCCACCATCGCGGCCTACGGTCCAACTGGGTATGTTACAGGCGCCAAGCTACTACCAGAAGATGAGCGGCCCGCGCCGCATCTGGCTGCTCTGCCTAGCGATACTGGTTATGCTCAAAGTCAGTACGTGGCGGAGGCGATCGTCTGGAACGCCATTGATAACGGTTTTCCGGTGGCCGTGTACCGTCCAGGATTCGTGCTGGGCCATAGCAAGTCCGGCATCTGTAACCCAGATGATTTCATCTCCCGGCTCTTCACCAGCTGTATGGACATGGGGCTGTATCCTATCCTGCCCAACCAGCGCAAGGAGTTTATTCCCGTAGACTTTGTCGTTGATTCGATCATCCATATTTCCCAGACCCACGACAATCTGGGCCACGCCTATAATCTGGTGCAGCCTGACCTTAATAACGCCATTGACATCAACACCAGTTTCGACCTACTCAATCAGCTCTCTCCTTACAAGATGGAAGGCGTACCGTACGAGCAATGGGTGAACTCACTCTCCGAGAGATTGGACGACCCCCTGCACCCCCTCACTCCTATGCTCAAAGAAAAGGTGTTTGGCAACATGACCCGATGGGAGGTCTACGAGAACATGGCCGAGTTTGGGCGGGAGAACATCCGCCGCGCCTTGCAAGATGCTCCGCACATTCTCAACCGCGACGACATTGAAGTGCTCTTCCACCGGTCGCTGAAGAGTTGGCTACCATGTTGTGTATGGCACAAGCCCGTACGCATGCAAGCGTGAGCAAGAATCCTTTCTCAATTATGTTATGGGTCGTTCTTATTGCCGTTGAGCGGGCATCGGTGGGCATAAGTTGAATGAATTGATGAAGGACAACGAAGCACACCAATGAGAAATCGATGAACTGATGATCCGAGAAAACCGAGAATGAGAAATGGAAAAAAGCGTGCCAAACCGAGGAGGAGAACAATAATTTATACCTCATTGATGTCAGATAAGACGAATCATGAATGCTTGATAGAACATAATGTCAATTGCTTATCCGCTAGCCAAGGCATTCCTCATGAGCAACAAACCGTCACGACTGTTCTTGGCAGTAATGGACGGAAGTGCAAATGCTTCAATTGAGTGGCCCAAGATATCTTGCTGCCTGGAGCCACCACTTGCCTTGCAGGTTTCGTGTTCTTGGCCTGCTCATAGACTCAGTCTGAGAGTAAGGGTCATCAGGCTGAACAGTAATTTCATATAGCTCGGCTGAAGATATCAGGCTTTTTCTCCAATCGTTTCCTAGAAAGACAGGGTTGATCTCAAATAGGATAATGTCGGGTGCTCCAGGGGTATTGAGGTTGATGTCTGCCTACTAGCATGAGAGACAGGGGGGTGACCTCGGTGTTGTTGGATTTATCGATAGCCGCTTGGCCAGTGTATATGGAAGTGGCATACAAGATTACCAATCCCTTGCTAAAAAAGCTTGTTCTGGACTTGGTCGTGAGCCTATAACGGGAATATGGTGCTTTCCATCTTAAACATATGATGTCGTTTACTACGATGATGGCCATGTGAGAAGCTCTGCTGCTCTACCTTCGGTACCTTCCTCGCCTGTCGCTAGAGGGGCTTTCGCAACAGCGGCAAGTGCACAGTAGAGACGGAAGTGGGCACCTTTATCAACTTCACTGAGGGCTGGTTAGAATCTGCCCGGACTTCCAACTGATTTATAGACGACACATGCCCGTCCAAATTACGACCACTTACACTCTTGGATCATGCCGGGGCTGCAATAGGCGATAGTCCTGCACGGGAAAGAAAAGCTACAACTAGAACTGCAACTACTTCTGTAAATAGTTCGTCGTACCGGATATCTTCTCCATACGGCTCGCCAACCACCTGTTCGGCCAGGAGGAAGACCAATACAACGGTAATTTTACGGCGACGAGAGATAGCCGACTATACCGAGCGCAGCAGCACTGCAACTGCCAGCGAACAGTATCTGGTGTATGTTTACTTACTTCGTCTCATGGCTGACAGGCATACTGAAATATGACGAAATACAGCTATGGGTGATAGTATCTTGGACTAGTAATATACCTCAGGAGCGGAGCCTGCACACACGATGGTATACAGGCCGCAGCCATGCTGACGCCTTGGCCTCTTTCAGCAGGCAGTTTTTTTCACTCAAAACACGGCATATAATCTGCCACAACTTGGGGCTGCTTTGAGTAATGAACCAGAGATGGTTGGTCCGAGCATTAATGGATATAGTGCCTATAATCTACGGAGCGGTGTGTTCGCTCGCAACTTTGACGTAACGGCAAACCGATGGACTCTCACACACTTCCTTCCAGTCACAATAAAATCAGAGTTGTGGCATTCACCGTAGCCAGAATCTTTAGCGGATACTCAACAGCAGTGGTTCGATGTGGTATGAAAGTAGACCGTGTCCATTTCTACGACCGGACTTTTGTTCTTCCCCCTGGCTTCAATATATAGCTAAGTCTCCCACTCCCCCTAATCCATCTCTAAATCTTCTCGGTAGCGCCACTCTTCTTTCTCCCTTTCCCTTCCACTTGGGTGGAAAGTGTGCTCTATCCAGGCACTCGGACGCCTTCTCTTATGCCGACTCTCTTCTAGAGCGCGGAAGGTATCGAACAATGGCATACCCCGACTTCCACCGAATCGATCCGGAGCTAGAGGAATTGGACGCCAGCGCCAATCACGGTCCTGTTTTCCACGACACTGAGAGATCCCCAGTCTACGAAGACCACTCCCAGGGCCTTATATATCCTATTGTGGCGCAGGATGACGTCGCTGCCCTGCGACGCTACCACGCAAACCCCGGCGCTAGGGTTTTCTGGGAAGCCTACGAGAACCCCTCATGTCATCCGTTCTTCGTCGCCCAAGCAAATAGTAGCTGCGAAACCCTTCAGGACCTGCTCCAGATTTACCTCGCGGATTATCTGTTAACTGCTGGGACTGGTGGCCACGCACCTCATGGCGGCTTTCCGCTTCTATCTAAGTACCTAACAGCACAATACTTTATTAACTAGTAATGATTTATTGCACGCCAGTCCCCCACCCCTAATTATAACATGATGCAAGTTGGGCTACTAGTGCAGAATATTAACTTCTCATGTATCCTGGTGATTTGCTGATAAGCCGCCCTGCTCCACTCTATCATTATCATTGGAATACTGTCATCAGAACGAGCTGAGGCAATCCTTGTTGTTATCATGGCATTAGATGACATCAATACCGAGGATAAAATGCATCGATGAGCTGAGCTCGATCAGCGGTTTGTTACTAGTATAAAACATACGGGATTGTGTTAAGGCAATGTATCCCATGCTCCGCCCGGCTGAGAAGAGGAAGTAAGTACTGAGCACGGGCTGATCTACTGGTCTTCACAACCTTCAAACTATAATTTGAAATGAGTCCACTAGCTTTTACACTATGTCTATATTATCATGAGATTGTTTAGCTTCCTGTAGTTTACTACTAGTAGGCTCAATACATTCGACTTAGTCTTGCCGTAACCTTGTGAATAGCTATGCGACAGACCGTTGAAAAATTATTAGATCTAAGTATATCTAGATTTGTATTACATATAGCCTTCCAGTCTTTCTCTAATCTGCAACTATGGAAAAACTACTTCTTCTAAACAGAATATACAGGCCTTATTCATGCGCTGGTAGAGATATATCTTAAACTAATTTTGAAAATCAAATATCTCGAACAAGCGGGTAGAAGAAACAAATTGCCAACAAAAGACCATCCACCGGATGAAGAGATGGGTAATGAAATGTGATACCAATTATCTAATTATTATCCCTCTAATTCCAGCCTCTGTGAACATACCTTCTCTCCTGAGCACAATTCAATAATTTTGCTGCCCCAGGTCACTGCTCCTCATTCTACTTCGACATACGGGAGCCATGTGGGATTTGCTGAAAACCTAAATCACTAAAATATGGACCGTAAAAATGGCGTAAAAAGTAAAATCAAAAACAAACCCGAGAGTTCAAATATTCTGTATCACCCATCGTCGAGTCATCTTGGCTAACCTTATTATGCAAAGCTAATTCAATTAATAGACCCAACTATATTTTTAGCACTACCCATGTAGCTGATAGCGAGTCTAGACTATATTCGAATTCCAAGTCCGGAGGCTAATTATATCATATATCAGCCACCCCAACCAGATCTCAAATGTCACGAGATAGGCGCCAATTATTATAAGTAAAAAGTAGATCACATCACAAATCAGACAAGCAAGGAAGTACTAAGAGCTTAGCATCTTTATTATATCCACTACTCTGACCTTTCATAGTAGATATCTTTATCTAATGGCTCTATCATCACATCTAGCCAAGAAATACGAATACCACCCTACAAATACTGGCGACTTGCGAAGTCCGTACCCTATGCTTAACGCACTTGCAAACCACGGTATAATTTCCCGCGATGGCCGTAATATCACGGCTAGTCAGTTGAAGAACGCCCTAAAGCATATTGGCGTGGACATTGACATCAGACTAGGCCTTGTCAATTCTGCGTATGTTGTCCACGACGAGCATTCGCATCGTGGCCTGCGCAACCCAGAACAGGTAAACGACTCCGGAGTACCTGTCCTAGATCTGGATCAAACTGGTCGGCCTCATACAATAAAACACGACGTGTTTCTCTCTAGAGAAGATCGCGCCTTAGGTGACTGTATCAGTCCTCATCCTGGGTTAGTTCAAGGCTTACTCGGGTATCCACAGCAAGACTTCTTCACCGCCTCCCAACTTGGGAGGTTTCGCAGGAAGCGGTATACAGAGCAAAATGCAAAAAATAAGATTTTAGACTTTGGCTACAGGGCCCACATAGTGGCCTGCGCTGAAGCTGCTCTATTCCAGGGCGTATTCGGTGAAGGTGTCTTTTATCAGCTGCCGGTTAAGTATATGAAAGCCGTTTTTCAAGAGGAACGTTTACCATTCAATGAAAACTAGACGCCGCGGTGGTTTCCATTGATAGTTCCTGAGTTGGCTATCTTGGTTCTTATAATCTTGTATTTTACTTCCTGAGTTAACTTGTTTTAATTTCGATGCGCATAGGGCTCCAGCAATGAATTTACTCTTTCCGATGGACGTCCTAGATCTTGCATAAATGGACCAAAAGACAACCTTGATACGCTTGACGCAAGATTAGTCAAAGCGGCTAAGAGAATGCTGGCTCGTCAAGAAATAATTAGGAGATAATCTTCTCGATAGTACTATTAAAATATCCAAGCACTGTAATATTATCTACAATTATTTAACCATCCCTATGGTCAAACCATCCATACTGCCACTGGTTTCCGCCTTCGCGGCAAGCAACATATGTAAACCAATAGGTAGAATCTAGATGTACAACAAGAATGAAGAGACATTTTGAGTCACTGTATTTCTACTGCCGCCAACAGAGGCCTTACATTCAGCAGTAGATGCTCTGAATATTGTGGACATCTCCTACCCCTCACCACTTTGTTCATCTTGCCAACTGGTGATCCAAGTTCCACAATCACATCTGCCCGCAGGAAGCTTTTCTATACGAGAAACCCGTGAATAAAACTCTTCATCCCGAGGAGCTTTCCGTTTGCGGCCGCGCCTCTGATGTGTTAGACATAATCACGCTTAGAGTTAGTATTACACGATATACATCCATAGTATCGGGCTATACAGCGAGTCGCTGACACGGGGATTCAGAGTTTTGCAGAGTATATCTCTGACTAACTTCTGGTCTCCACCAACCATTCCATGGCTAACGTAACGCGAGCCTCATCTGAATCAACTCGACGCGGCTCGTCATCTGATCAGCCGGGGAGCGGATGTGAACATGGCCGACTACGTGGGAAATACACCTCTTCACGAGGTAATGAAAGGGACTATGCTGAAGCGGTATGACAACAACGGAAACCTGGATCCCACATATCCCTGGGATGCTCCCCTACGAGGTCGACAACAATGGATCCAAGTCCTCGTGGAGGCTGGTGGCTTGATGCAGCAACCGAATGCTTCGGGACAGACGCCGGCCCAGCTGCTCAGTGAGGTCACCAGAAGACATCAGTGCAGAAGGCAGGTGAGAGCCAGTGAAAGCCCACGAGGGGCAGCAAATTTGAGGTCAAGGTGAGTATCAAGAATGGTTACGAAACGCGGCGCGAGACGACTCTGTTCGGCATTCACCATTCCCGGATAGAGACACCAGATTATCTACAAACATTTGGCAGTGATCAAGGGTCGATAGAAGAGTCAGATGCTTGGCAAGGTTTTGTGAATGAACCGGGGAAATCTCTGAAGTCTAGTTCAGAGCTATAAGATCCAGGTTAATGCTAATGAGTGTATTATCAATAGCCTGAGCTTGGTCTCAACTCCGTTCACTGTTTCCTGAAACAGGAAGATGTCTATCTACAACCGATAGCGGAAGCCGACGGTATTCCAATCGGTCGCATCTTCATAATCTTCCGCCTGCAACTCGACCGACTGCACCAACACCGACACATCATTACCGTCCTGTCGCTCATTGACAACTTTCCCCCCCACAGCACCCGCCAGTGTCGCCGTCCCCTGGACACCCTCCTCGCGATCGCGCTTCCGATTAAACCACTGCAAGTAGCATCGCAGGGACACCGCCAACACCGCAGATATAATATAGCAGATAAGGATGGCTCGAAACGAGGTCTGATACAGGGGCGCCTCACTTGATTTGAAAAACTGCGGCCCAGCAATATTGCCCGCACAGTAAGCGATGAACATCATGGAAGTGATGGTCATTTTCTTGGTGACACCACGGTAATTCGCCTGTAGGAGGGACATGATAAGCGGGAGGGCACCGGGACCCGTGGACAGCAGAAAGTAGCCGAAGAGCTGGGCGCCGAGGGGCACATGGTGGGCGCGGGCGTAGATGATGGCACTACCGGTGATGGACAGTGCGACGATACACACGATCAGCAGGCAGTTCCAGTGGTGGGACCGACCGGCCAGCCAGCCGGTGAGCGCGATGGTGCCAGCACTGATCACACTGGCAGGGATGACGATCAGGGTGGATTGCAGGGAGGTGAAGCCGAAGGATTTGATGACGAGGTTGCCGAAGTTTTGTGTGCCGCCGTTGGGGATCTGGGTCAGCACTGCCAGGGCGAAGAGATGCCACGTCTTCGGGTCGCAGAGGCATTCGACAAATTGCGCCCATTTCCAGGTGGTTTTCTCTGTCCGACCGGTACCTGCGATCACGGCACGATGCGCCATGAACTCTCGTTCCTCCGGGGTGAGGAACGTGGCAGTGGAGATGCTATCCGGGAGGAAGGCGAAGAGGACAAATCCCCACAGAAAAGTGGCTACGCCGAGGATGATGAACATCCACATCCAGGGATGCAGGGGGTGGTCAATGTGGCCAATGCCATAGGCGAGCAGACTGGCGACGAGCCCGCCGACCGAGTTGCCCGAGAACCAGATGCCCGTGCGGAAGGGAATCTCATCGCGGGTGTACCAGGTCGAGGTGAGGAACATGAAGGCCGGCGTGATGGTGGCCTCCGCCACCCCGAGAAGGAATCGCACGGTCAGCAAACCGCCGTAGTTGGTACAGGCGGCCGTGAGGGCTACTACGGCACCCCAGAACCAGGTATTGATGGAGAGGTATTTGGCGACGGGCACCCGGGGTATCAACACGTTGGTTGGCTGGAAGGAAGTCAGCTCACATGTACACCAGAGTAAATGTCGCGAAGGGACCACGGTCGCACCCATTCCCAGAAGAAATATCCAAAGTAGAAGATGCTGGACACCCAGCTGTACTGCTGGCCGACCAAATGCTGGTGGAAATCAATTAGTAACAGTACGCTAGCTGATCGATAAGGAAGGCCCTCACGGTATCTTCAATCAATCCAAACACAGATGCACTCGACAGGATAGTTTTATCCATAAAGTTGAGCAGGTAAGTGACGAAGAGGAGAGGCAACAGACGACTGTCCACCTTGCGTAACACGCGGGAGGCGATCACTGGCGACTCTTCGGGCGCGTCGTGCGCCTCTGCACTGGTGGCTGCGACCGTGTCCATCGCCAGGAAGAGCAAAGCACAGCGACCAGCAGAGAATATTATCTCTACACGGGTCAAAGTCCCAAGATAAGTGATTAAGAATGATATTTAGAGCTCCGAAGACAAGTGCCATATCTTCACCCCCGCCGGATCCCTTCCGATATCTGCTGCGGAACCACCAATCGGCACGCGCATCCAATACATCAAGGGATCGCCGCTGCGATACGCTATCCACCAATAAATCTGCAGGATTATGATTTGCCAGCGGTGTACTTTGCGATTTGTAGCTACAACCTGCCCAATGCTTCCTTACACTATGGGGTTTTCCTGGCATGCCCCTACAACTTTGACTTCGGTGGCCTGTCAATACTCTCCATAATTGATGGCAACAATCGATCCACCGCTCGCCAGATGGCCGAGGATCCTGGATATTCAAAAGTCGCTCCGACATAGTACGTATTGCGGTGACCCTGCAGCTTCTTCAACTCCTGGTAGAAACCGTCCTCAATGGCCTTCCGCCCAACTGACATTTCAAAAGGGGAATGGTCGGCAAACGCCAGGAATTCCGGGTCGTCGACATCGTATCCAGCTCGTCGCAGTCCTAGAATATCCTCCACAATAGCCGCCTTGACCTGTTCCTCCGTCATGGGCTCCTCGCTACCGTATCCAACGGCCATCACACCTGGCACGGCAGTCGGATACATCATCAAGATACACGGAAGAAGGGGAAGGGAGTAAGGTGTGTCGGACCCGCGATTGACAATTTGGACTCCCTCGGGGCATCCATCTACCCGCACCAGGCCAGCGTAGTAGTGTCCGTAGATGAATTGGCTGAAAAGAGAAGATTCAAAATCGTCCAGATCGAGGCCATCCAGCACCTGTCCAGTTGGAGGGGCCGCCAGGATGGTCGTGTTGGCCTCGATGATCCAACTCTTCCCACCTGACGATTCCACCCTCAATCGATGTAGCTCATCGTCCTCGCGACACGCCTGCACGACAACGCTACCAAGGAGGGCGTCATTCCCCAGCTCCGCCAAGGCAGCCTCATACAGTTCTGAATTATCATGCCGAGCAGTGGACAGAAATCCCGTCTCAAGTGCTCTCAGCATATCCAGTGACACGAACTTCATTAGATAGACGGTAGGGTAGTTGAGCCAGTTGCGCACGCCCTGGCTGTAGATACTGATCAGCTCGACGGCAGCCCCCAGGTCGTACTTTTCAACGAAGTCCCCAAATGGCATCAAGAGATCCTCTGGAACGTCTTCTGGAAGATTCCATCCTTCTAATAGGTATGGATATTGTCGGAGAATGTCACCATAACGCTCCAGAGCCTTGCTGACATTCCCGGGATAGGGGTCCACAATTTCGCCGGTTTCAAAGTCAACGCGTTCCATCTGACCGCCGCCATTTGAAACCTTTGCAAAAGGCACTTCAAGATGGGAGAAGAAATCTATGGTCTCAGGCGAATCTTCAAACAGGGTCACGCCAAAGTCAAGCGGTGTGTCCGTGGTCGGCTCGATGTACGTGATAGTATGACCGCCCAAACGACCGGTCTTTTCAATCACAACCACAGAATGCCCCTCCTGAAGTAGGTTGATGGCAGCATATGTGCCGGCAGCACCACCCCCAATGATACAAACGTCTCGTCTAATTACCTCGCAGTCATTGCATGAGGAGGAATTGATGGCGTTGGAACGACCGATGCTAAAACATGTTCCAAGAACAAAGAGAAGTAAGGAAAATTTGGAGAACGGAGAGAACATAATTTCCAATTGCAGGATGGACCTATTTAGTAAATGCCTGTATGCTGTTGGTGGTCACAGCGACCTATCTATACCCGCCGACTGGCTGGGAAATGAGATCTTCGGTGACCCCAAATGATGCGGCAACCCAATGCCGAAAGAAGGAGGGAAGTCCTGCCTGCAGTGGTGTGTCATTGAAAAGATGCAAGTAAGCCTGGATCCTGCCGCTCCTGCTGTTACTTAGAGAAACAGCAGGTAGTACCCGGTGGTCAACTGCACCATTCACAACACTTATGGGATGTGACGACTTTCTGTGAAACATTCCTATAATGGCAGTAACAATAATCCTTCCATTGCCATTTGTCAGGTTGTCCCGCTTGAGAAAGCTTGAGCACCAGAAAGCTCAGACGATCCGCGACGAGATGTCTCGCAGCACGGACAAATTTACCATTCAGCTGTTGGATACATATACGAGGCGCGACAGGCAGTAATATGGCTGATGAGATGGAGATTGTTAAAGTGCAGTGTTACCATCAGCATGTGATAGGCACATTCACCAGAAAGACCCGCCGGGATAAGGTATCAGGTAAATAGTAATATAACTAGCAGACAGACCGCCCGATTATACATGGCTCGGTTATAGTATATAAGTATCCCCTTGTCGTTTCCAGTGGCAGCGAGCCCGCGTGTTTGGTAACATTTTCGGAATGTAATCTGGCAGGACTTTGATGGCCTTAGGTAAAGAAGAAGAAAAAGCAGAATGCATCACATGATTGTACAAGTGAGGGGACATGTTCAGTGCCACGCGCCCTCGTCCAACCAAATTGGTCTACATACCACGGCAGTGGTATTGTCATCAGGCGCACTTGCCACTCTGGCAAGTCAGGTTGTCGGAACAGTCGTTCTCGGTTGAGCAGGAAGCACCTGAGCACCATGGGTCAGTGTAACACGAAGCACAGACCAAAGAAGGGGTCTTACCAGCGCAATGGCCTGACCAGGAGCAAGAGGATGATGAGCTGGACCCGGAGCCAGAGCTAGAGCTGGAGCCCGAAGAACCGGAACTGCAGTAGCTCGAAGCATCGGCATTGCTGTAGACGTTCGAGGTATAGCATTTGCCGCTCGCAAACAACTCGTCCGCTTGGTTGTACTGTTAGTTCATGTGATGTAAGTGCTATCCGGGGTGGATAACATACAGTTGACGGTGTAGGAAGTGCCCGGGTTAATAATGACGGTTTGAGAATCATCAGGAGTCAAAGAGTCTTCGCAGTGAATCTGGGTATCCCCACCACTGGAAGTAGTAGAGCCAGTCCAAATATCGATGTGGAGCTTGCCGTTGTCATAATCGGTGGCTGTTTCTGTCAGCGGAGGAACGGAACGAGCGTGAGGGTACTTACTGCACTGCGCACATGTATCCTCGAAGCGGAGATACTTGCGAAGGTATGGGAGGTAGACGATCTCACACTTTTTAAACTCGCCAGGGGCGGTGGCAAAGGTGAGAGGGTCGTCATACGTGCCGGTGCCTAGCAACTGTTAGCTTTAACATGTACCGCCGGAAGGACTATGAGAACGTACCTCCAGCCGTATAACCACGACCACAATCATACGCAATATCCGCACTGGGAGGATCGTTGTCGGGATATCCGTAAAAGGTAATCTCGACATCAGATTCGGTCGAACATGCTACGGATGCCCCAAGAAGGCCAGCGAGGGCAAGAAGTTTAAGAACCTTGGAGCTCATTGTGTGATGAGAAAGAATAGTGAGATCAAAGAAGAGTAAGAATGCCGTGTTGCCAAAGCATATGAGAACTTTAAAGGGGAAATACCGCGTTTATATAGTAAAAGGTTTTGCTAGGGAAGTTACGATGAGCATCATACTATGTCTAGTCTCTTGTAGACGGAGTAGCATTGAAGCATTCCCTACATGAGGATTATGGCACTAGGTTTCAGCCTACTACCTGCAGAATCCTTCTATTAGCGGAAATACGAGATGCCCAACTCTCGTTGGAGGTAGACCGAATGGACTGACTGATCGACACATCCTAGTGCTTATTCTCCTACATCCACAAATCCAACTATCGCCCTATTCCATGGCCCAGGGCCTCATACGTCGCCAAAGGAAATGACTGGAGATGACCCAGCAGAAGTCGAAGCTTGACGCGCTTGCCATACTCGATTGTACAATGTTCTTTTCAATTCCCTAAAGCACCCGCTGTCCCCGCAACTACCAAGGCGAGAGACCGACTTTGGTGGCTCCAACCTTTTCTTCCAACGGTTTGCTAAGTATGGTGGGGTCCGAAAATCCTGGGTCTTGGGCGGGCAGATCGAACCCAATATCCTCATTAAGCGAGGATACCACAGCTTGATATAGGTTTGCCCGGCCCCATTACTGCCTATTCTTAGAGCGAGCTAAATTGTGGGGTTTCCTGTCAGGGTCCGACATGGAGCTGCTGATCCCCTGGGCATATCCCACCTGTGAGATCAGGGACAATCAATATCTTGTAATTGACGACTGCTCAGGGACCTTCCCGCAAGCGGCATCACCTGGGGCGACATGATTGTCTTTCAGAGCAGCTGACATTCCTTTAAGGGGATTTTCCTAACGAGGAAGGTGGATAGTGTCTGCAGCATCTGGCGTCGGAGACTAGGTGTCTGTCGGTAGTTTTTGTTATTAATAAACTCACAGGATGCGACCGTTGAAAATGCGAGGGCTTAATGGACATACTGACCCCACTGCGAGGTAACCAGTCTGTGGCTGTTGTTAATAAATGGAGACATTTTACAGGGTCCATATCCTTGGCACTTGCATAGAGGACAGTACACATTACTTCCTGCCACTCTGTGTTGAGAGAGAGAAAACCCAGATATCCCAAGTAACACGAGTTTTCCGCAGACTCCTTCAAATCCCAGAACCTCGGACGGCCTAAAAGTGGTAAGAAAGCTTGTGATCCTTAAGCTGCCCCTGACTCGGAACAATGCGGTTGCCATGCATGGTCATGCGATGGGGCCAAAACTGGGGGCCGTCGGGATCCCATGTTGCCCTTTGCGGAACGGAGACTGGCGCGCATCAAGTCTATTCTAGTGGTTCAGGCGCAGGACCCGCGCAGCACGGTATCGGAGGCGTTGGGAAAAAGTATTCTTGTCCTCACTCTAGCTAAATAACCACAGCTATGATTCCACAATGAGCGGGTATGTTTCAACACCTTTGTGACGATGAATCGATGAGATATAATAATGTGAGAACAAAACATCTATTATGAACAGATTGACAAACACGATGAATAATGAGACAGTGAACGCCAGTAACCATGACAATCATAACATACATCACAAGGGATAATAATGCAAGTCTTTCAAACGGACGAAACCTCCATTTCCACCGGCACAGACATGAACTTTTGCGTCTTGATCACCTTGTCAGAATAACGGTCTCCACGCCCCAGATAGCAGTTGACTTGGCTGGGATGGATGAATTGGAGTATCTCCATCGCCAGGAACATCAGCAACGCATCAAACACATAAATGAAAACCTCATGCTTCATGAGATAGCCGTCATATCCCTGCAGGTACTCCACCACACGGACAATGGAACGGACGAAGATCAGGACACTGGAGATGTAAAGAGCGTTCATGTGGCGACGCCAGATGTGCGATAAATCAACGGAAGTGCCGGTGGGAGCCTTCGCTAGTCGCATTTGGAAGATGAGCGCGGTGATAATGAAGAAGCCGAAGAAGATAATCTGAACAAAGAGACCGCCGATAATAATGTGCTCGCCCGTGGATGGGTCGCTAGAGTTGCTGACCATGAGACCAGCGCCTACTGTTCTTAGCGATACTGCCAGAAAGGATTCGGAGACAGGAATATACGCACCAGAGGCTTGCATCAGAAAGGAAAGAACGTCGCCCGCAACAAAGATCTTGGTCACCCAGTTCAACCTGAACACCGAGTACTGTTCGGCTTGGACCATTCGAATGATGCGACCGAGGGTCATGTAAATACTGGCAGCCAGGAAGGCGGGAGCGATCAGAATAAGGGCGCTTTGCATGGCATACGAGCCTGTGCTGTAGTTGGGGCTTTCAAGCGATGACAGCAGACGGCCAACATATCCGATTGTTTCCACTGAAGATGAAGCATAATGTCAGTAGTAGTTCTGCATGGTCGGGGTTGGGTGACTGACAGATTCCTCCAATGAAGAAAGGGATCATGAACCACGTTCGCGTCCGAACCAGCTGCAGAAAGTGCAATACAGTGCTGATGCCGAACAGAACAACAAAGATGCCTGCTGCCGCAGCAGAGGGGGTGTAGTAGTAGAGAGTGAATGCCATGGCTGTTGTGCAACAGAGAAGAGCTGGAGTTGATGAAATTGCACCGGGGCAGGGAGCGAGGCCCTGCTTTTATGGAGGGCCATCACTGTTGCCTTCCATTTCGTCCAGTTACCGATATGGCAACGGTCGCGATATACGAGAGATGATAGTGCCTCTGTCCCTGAACCTCAGATTGGAGATCCGTGGCTGGGGGATCAAGATCTGCCCTACTGGGAGCTCCTCGTTTTCGTTGCGTATGCCGTTTTGGGTAAGACGCCCCTCGTACTCGCACCCATGCCCGAAAGAGGCAACTCCCGGCTGATCTCCAGACGAACTCGAACGTTTAAATCTCTACAATCTAACTTTTCGACTGGGTCCGGAGAGATTCCGGTTTAGAACTCTTTATTTTCCGTATGATACACGCCAGATACCCATAAATAAACTATAGAGAACATTCCCGTTGCCTAAATGGCTTGCTGCGCCCGCTGCTCCTTCTGAGCGAACGAGTCCATGGGCTTCAAGTTCGCCTTGGACGGTCCCTCCACGCAAACCCCATCGCAGCTGAACCGACTACCATGTACGGGACAATCCCAGCTCTTCTCGGTGTCGTTCCAGTTCAACACCCCCTTCATATGCGGACAGACAGCGCTGAACTTATGCGCCTTACCTTGCTCGTCTTTGTACACGGCCACGGGGTTCGTCAGACCCTCCTTGATGACGCCTCCGGAGCCGACGGCCAGATCCTCGATATCCTTAATGTCGGACTTCATCCAGCGCTTGTACTGGGCGTTAATCTGAACATCATGCTGCAGCATACTGGGTAGTGATTTGACGATGCTGGACAATCGATGGGGGTTATACAGGCTGGCCCATGGATTGTCAATGCCCGTAATCTCGTCCGCAATGAGTCTGCCAGCAAGTACGCCGTGTGTGAGACCATTGCCACTGTCTCCTGTGACAATATAGGTATGGTTCAAGCCCTGGTTCTTTCCGATGAATGCCATGTAATCGACAGGCTCAAAAATCTGTCCGCTCCATTTATAGTCGACTGTCCCAGCCTTGGTGAAGCGTTCACGGACCCAGGTCTCGAGTTCCTCGAAGCGACCACTAGTGTGCTCCTGGCCGACCTTATGATCACATCCTCCGACTACCAGGTAGTCGTCCTTCTCGTCGCACTCGGTGAATCGGACGTACTTGTACGCTTCTGCCTCGTCATAGAGTAGGCAGTCCTCGATCGAGCCCTTAGGAACACGAATGGCAATGCAGTACGTTCGCATGAACTCCATCTCGGCAATGACACTCAATTTCTGGAGCGGCACACATGTCGCCTCAACCATATCTTTGGCCGTAATGGTGTAGCCATCTGCGGTTGTCACTTGCACCAGGCCGCTCTCGCTGGATGACATCATGCGCGTGTGCGCATAGCATTGAAAGTTTGGCTGCTTCTGCAGCCAGTCGAGTACCCCGACAAAATACTTGGTCGGATGGAATGTGGCCTGGTCTGCAAAAATGGCACCGTCCCGCTGGTCGATGCTGCCGTCCCATCCCTTGACGGTGAGCCCATCGCGGTAGGAGGCAGGAAGACCAAGCTGCTTCGCCAGCTCCGCTTCCTTCTTCAGGCTAGCGACCTCCTTTTCATGGTTTGCGTCGCCGCGGGGGTACTGGGAGATTTCGTAGCCCGGAAGTGTACGGTACTCGCACTCGATTCCAAGCGATCTGGAAATCTCCCCGACTCGCTTGAGCGCCCAGGTATGACTCTCGGCGGCTGCTTTAGCACCCTGCGTACCATGCTTCTTCTGGATCTCAACATATCCATCATCCAAGGCATTGGACAAATGGCCACTAGTCCGGCCACTTTCTCCGGACAGGACATTGCGGGCCTCGATCATGGTAACTCGCTTCCCGCGATTGACCAGTTCATAGGCAATGGAGATACCTGCAATGCCTGCGCCGACAATGCAGACTTCCGTTTCGACGTTCTCATTCAGCGATGGAAACTTGGGATACTTGGAATACGGCATGGAGTGAACCCAGACGGGGTCCGTCTCGCCAGAGGTGTTCATCCAATGGGTGGGGCTGGACATGGTGGCTAGTTTGCGTGACTTTGGAGGGGGGGCAGAAGTTGAGTATGAGGCGACCGTATACAGAAGTTGATAATTAACTCGTTTGAAAGAGGTACGTTTACTAGCAGCATGGCAGGCGAAGCTGCGAAAGCTCAGTTTATACAACATGGCAGGGTCGTGCCAGATAAGACCAACCCTCCCCTCTATGCGCAAAATGGGCGTTCCAGTGCGGGTTTATGTTCACAATATACCCCGGAGGCATCATGATGACATAACGGCAGACGCAAGAATTAAGTTGTGCGACGGCCAGATAGAGTTCAAATTGAGATCTAGACAATGGAGCCAATGACCTCGACTCGCTACGAAACCGGGTTTATCGTCAATTTTCCGGGGTGGTGGAAGAAGGATAGTCTAGACCAGCTTGCGTGAACATAGCATGCGGGGCGTGGAGATACCGGAGAAGGCCATTGTGTTTGTGGGTAGACTATTAGACCTCCCGTAGACGTGCGTATCCCATTCATCTGTGGTCACAGCACGACCTCCTACGCATCTAGATTAGACTTCATGAAAGGCTACTGTCACTTGACTCGCGCATAGTGGTAGCCGCCGAGGATAGGTTTCAGCCACCCGGTCATGGCGGTCCTCGAGCACATGAGCAGAGTATGGCGGAAAATATATCCCCAGAAGTCGGCGGGAGATCTCCCAGCTATTCCCCCCGCATTCTTTGTTGAAATGTGCGAAGTACGTAGCTGATAAGCAGAGCAATCATGACATTCTCGGTGGCAATAAGCCCCCGCTAATTCGCTGATGGTGGATGATGGACTATCAATAGCACCACCAATGACCTCACCATGACTCCCGGACCAGTGACGCCATCACCACCCACCAACAACCAACCCTAACGACTCAACGAATATCCAATACTCTAATCAGCCGTCTCCCATTACCAACAACTGACTCTTCTACTCCCTGTTCTATTTACATTTTACCTCCTAAGAACCATCGACTCAATTGACCATTGCATAACCACCAAAATGCCTCGCAAAGTCTCCTTCTCCGAAACGCAACTGCCCAACTTCGACAAACCTATCCGCCCGCCCTCAATCAGCGTCGACTTCTCCACCACCGCCCCCGAATGCCCCGTCACTGCGGCCCGCGAGCCAGCCCGCTATACGAACGACTACATTGAGAAACCCGGTGTCCCGCGGGCCAACACCACCGCGTCAATTGACCGGCCGGATGGGGATGAGAGCTACACCAAGCAATTTAGTGACTTCGTACGTCCTACCACCAAGCCAATAGATTGAAAACATGCGCACTGACATTATGATGAATTGATGGTGAAGACCCCCCTCCAGCAACATGTCCTCTTCTGGGACCGCGACCGCGACGGCCAAATCTACCCCTGGGACACATATATCGGCTTCCGCGAGCTAGGATTCAATATGCTGTTTTCCTTCCTGGCTGTTTTGATCATCAACCTCAACTTTTCCTATCCGACTCGTCTAGCGCATTCGTTTCTCCCGGATCCGTGGTTTAGGGTATATGTGGATGCGGTTCATAAAGCTAAGGTACATACCTATACTCCTGCGAGCACGATTCAAGGCTTTTGTAGAGGACGATGGCTAATGAATACTAATGAATAGCATGGCTCCGATAGCAATACCTACGACCCCGAAGGACGTTTTGTTCCTCAATCGTTCGAGAATATGTTCGCCAAATATGATCGTGATGGTGACGGGGCATTGACACTCCGCGAGCTGTTTGATATGATGCATGGAAATCGGTGCGCGGCTGATCCATTTGGTGTATGCATGGCCCCATCTATAGTAACTCTGGTGTTTTCACGGTAGCTGATGAAAATGCGTAGTGGGGAGCTGCAATTTGTGAATGGGGCACCACATGGTTGCTCATTGAGAAAGATGGCAAAGTCTGGAAGGAAGATGTGCGGGGGGTTTACGATGTATGCCTATGCCTTTATTTTGCCTTGATTGGTGTGAGAATTGTAGCTAATGATGATGACAGGGTTCATTGTTTTGGAAGGTCCGCGAAGCGAACTATTCCGGACGGGGGTGGTCGCAGGGGTTCAGACCGGGGTTGTGGATCAAACGGACGGTGAAGGGGGTTTTGAATGCATATCTGGATGGTTAAGCATACATGCATTGCATTAGACGACTAGAGATTTATAGAGCGATCTGGTTCGCTATCATATGAGGTTCAATTTTCTTTGTCGAGCATAATATCAGTTAGTTCTGGCATGGAACAGAGACAACATTCCTTTAATCTCACTACTACGTGGCCTGTAGACAAACTAATAAGTATACCGAAACCCCGGCAGATCCCCAATGACCAACTCTCCCCGATCAACCCGACAATTGCGCAGATACAACCGAATCGTCAACAACCCCACCAACACTATCGCGGCAGCCTGCATCCCAATACATGTAAGCATCCCCGGCCGGTACTCTGGGGCATCCTGGGACCGAAAGACCAGAGACCCAACCATGCCGCCCGATGCACCGAGACCGACGAAGATGGCGCTGCAGGCTGCTCGCTTCCACTGGCCGCGGACGTTGTTGGCCTGGAGGGAGTCAGCATTGATGGTATAGCTTAGTTCGAAGGTAAGATCCTACCTGATATGCCATAGCAGCAGGAACATTCGAGTTGGCTCCCATCGTAGTAAGGAAACACCCAACCAGTCGGGGCCCGTTGCCCTTTGTGAAGGTCTAGTCCTGTCAGCGATGCCTACTATGCCCTTAATATGGAGGGAAACTGACCATCAACGGCAGCCCAATCAAAGCCAGCATGGCATTGAAAACGATAATTGGCCCTCGTATCCGATACTTATCCCCAATCCAGGATGTCGCGAACATGGTGATCCCCGCAGCCACGTACGGCGGAGCGAAAAGACACAATGACGCTCCCATTGAGAATCCCATCCCCTCTCTATAGATAAGAGGCAGGAAATATGCGATCGAGTAAGCGGTGGTCGTGGTACAGAAATAGACCAGTCCAAACCCCCAAATATTGATATCCAGCGCAGCGACAAGGTACTTCTTAAGATCAAACGGTTCGAGTCTGACGTCGCCGCGGTCGGCGTTGATCTGATCAGTGATGAAGTCGTATTCCCGGTGCGAGAGGAATCGACTCTTGCTTGATCGCATGCGGTCCGGAAAATTAATTAGAACGAAGTAGCTTATGGCTGCAAGGGTGCAGGTGATGAGGCCTTGGATGACGAAGATCCAGCGCCAGGCTGTGAGGCCGCCTAGACCATTCTGTTTGAGCCGATCGTTAGTAGAGGAACGGTCAGGGAGGGGGGGCCACGCGTACCATGAAGGTGATACCATAGGATAGAATGCCGGTAAATGCTGAGGCTACACAGCCGAGAAGGTAGAAGATGGCAAATCGCTTCTGCATCTGATAACGGGTGTACCAGGTAGCAATCAAGTAGACAGCAGCGGGGAAGAACCCTGCTTCTAAGGCTCCGATAATGATTCGGATGCCAGCTAGCTGGGCCCAGTTATGAACGAAGCCACCGCACATCTAACATGTTAGCTCTTGTCCAGGAGGAGCGTCTAGGGAAGATTGCTTACCATGCTAACACCCCAGATAAAGCAAATGCCCGCTAGGAAGAGCTTCGGGCCCAGCTTGCGAATAAATACTGGTCCGAGCATCTGCAGGCAGATGTAGGGAGGAAAGAACACGACAGCAATGACATTCTGCACGATCCTGTTAGTATTGAGATGGTGCTCGAGCAATGACAACCTCACATATTGATTGCCCTGGAGGTGCAATTCCTTCTCCATTCCCGCAACCGCTGCAGTAGACAGGTTCCCCCGGTCAATCAGCGACACGGTGTGCAGGAACCCCAGCATGACAATCAATCGGGCATCGACCCGACGGATAACCCGTCGCTGCTCCTGTGGAGTCAACTCGGTATCATCGGTCCGGGAGCTTTCTGCCTCAACGGCCAAGCCTTTAACAGTGTCGTCGTCGGCCATCATCCCGAGGACGTTGCAACTATCCCGTTAGCTACATTGAAGGGAGTGCTCTTGCTTTGAAGGAAATTCGTAGGGTCTAAAGTATGATCAAGGCAATGATGCAAATTTGGTATCGATGGCGACATTGCGAGCATTTTTCGAGGTCATAGATGCTTTTATCAAGTCATAACAGAAGAAAGTGTGTTAATGGATAGATTTGCATTTGCGGGGAAAGCTCAAGAATCGGAAATCGGCGTTAAGCATTAAGCTACTACGTGTAAAGTAGCGATATGACTGGCCAAGCCCTGTAGACTGGAGATAGTCTCTCGCAGCTATATTTAAACGCCGAAAGCCGAAGAAAATAGCCATGGCGGTCCGCGTGAGTGGTTAATGTTCCAGGGGCCAAGGATCGATAGGCGTCGTCATTGACATGTCAACTCCTAGGCTGCCACGCCTCTCACAGGCTGGTTTTTCCAGCTATTCTGAATATGCATGCTACCACTAAGCCACTGTGCCTTCACTAAATCTATCCTCATCTGCAGTCACATTCCAGTCGTCAACCCGACGTGTCTTCGCCTTCCGCCGTTCTTCCCACTTGAAGGCAAAATGGATGCAAACAAACAACACCGCTGCCAAGCACGAAAGGCCGAGGTATAGCTTTGCTCCAATGCGCCAGTGAGGAGCTTCCGATGCTGGGTATGCAGCTATGGGAAGGAAGGCACTCAGCAAGTACGAGAAGAGAGTTCCGGTGGCAAACAAGACGGTGCGGACTTGCGGCTCCGTCTCCAGATGGGCAGATGCCCACGCACACAAAAGCATTGTCGAAACCCTAAACAGTAGACGTCAGCTGGGTTTCCTGTGCCTATCGATAGGGGAGGCTTACGCTCCGACATAATCCATATACCACCCAGCCATATATGTGTGCTCATTGCTCGGTTGTATCGTCAGGATAATCAAAGATACAATGTTGATTACCTAGTACTTGGTCAGTACCAACAAGTGACTTCTCTGGTGTGACTTACCGCATGCAAGAGAAGGAACGGCAGCCTGACTCCGAAATAGTCACTGAAACCGCTGAAAAGGATCTCAGCAACAAGTTGGATTGCTTGACCAGCGATCGGAAGGTAATCGAGCATGGCCACAGAGCTACACCGAATTAGACTTGGATGCAGACAATGGGGTGAAACGCATACTATTTGGCAGTTCCGTCAGGGTTCTTCAACGACTTGAGCCAGAGGTTGAAGTAGCTCGTTGGCGTTGTGCCGGTGCCGATGGCCCAAGCAACTGGAACAATGTTAGCTATTGACTATATGATAGCATGAAGTGACTCATACTGGCGAACAGCCATAGATGCCAGAATCTGAAACAGCGCAGAAAGCTTTTGACTTGGATGCCGATCTGCGGTTTCCGGCCCACGCGGCGTGTGCGTGCAATAGCAGTCTCTGTATCTGGTTAGCCATTTGTTTGATACCTCCTTTGATCTCTACTTACTAATATGCTGTGGCCTGAGATAGATCTTCGACAATGGGTTTTGCCTTTCAGGCTATGCCCATTAGCAGGTATCCCATCAGAAGAGTTGGATTTTCTCACAAAGCCAGGTAAGATGATGAAGGCCAACAAAGCGATGAAGATTGTGCAAACGCCCTATCCATAATATTTCTCGTTCAGTCATATGAACACGGGCATACAACAAAGCGAGACATACGTTTATTATGAAAGCCCATCGCCAGCCACTTCGCCCCATAACACCTTCCAGGTTGGTAGACATTGCGCCCTGCATGGCGCCAGAAAGCATAGCCCCAACTGGCTGGGCCATGTTATATAGGCTCATACGCAAGGCCATCTCATGGGGGAGATACCATTGGCTTTGATCATTGTCATTAGTCGTATTCACAACTTGCAGAGAGCATTCCGAGACATACCTGATAATGGTAAAATAGCCAGGCCACGTCGCACCTTCGAAGAAGCCAATAAGGAAACGCAAGCCGTACACCTAGCCAATTAGCTATGCCGAAGCATGTCCAGAAGCTGGGGGAAATACCTGCTTAGCAGACGTGACTGTGGATAAGCAGCAGGTAAGGATACCCCACAACACCTATCCTTGTTGGTCAACCATGAATCAACTACGTGTAGGGAAACCTCACCTCGCATGCTGGCAGCCATATCGATGGCCCGATGTGAGAAATGATGATGCACGAGGGATAAAGCATAATCATGTACCCGATACTGATGGAGTCAGCATTAGCGATAAGCAGGGGTGACGACTTACTTGAAGAAGGTCGTGAAATAATTGTATTCATTCCCATAGAGCTCAAGATCTGTCTCCATACCGGAAACATAGGCATTGCTCTGCCAAGCATAAGTGCATATCCCTTTTCAGATCGTTGCGGATACTAACAATGTTCGTTTGGTCCAGGTACTTGAATGCATATCCCAGGAACCCCACGACAAGGAAGAAGCAATCGAGCCTCCATACCTGAAATTGGTCAGCTATTGAGCACATCCACGATGTTGCGTGGTAAAAACAATACCAGTGCCGTCTCATCCTCCGGTCGGATCTCAACCGATAGGTGCTCGTTCACAGATGAGATCCTATCGATCGGGCCTTTGTTGCTATCCTCGGGTGTCTCCATTTCACATAAATTCTACAATGGCGACGAATAACCATAAAAGAATCGACAGTATATTCGGGTTCCGAATGGATATAAAAAGCATGCAACATTGGGATTGTGGGAGGAAAGTGCGTTCAACCACGTCTTATCGGCGACCTGCAGGCATGGCATCAAGGCGGGATGTGAAGGCGTGCTCTGTATAGCCCGCCCCGCTCAATTGGTCTGATGCAGGCCGTTCGTCGCCAAGCAGACCAAGGAAGCTGCTGACGTTGAGGTCTAGAAGATCATCTCCGATAACGATGCAGGTGCAGTACTCAAATTGTAGGTATCAGGCTAGACAACATCCGGACCGGCTTCAAGTATCCCCACTATCGCCACCAGCTGTCCAAATTACGAGATTTGTCGCTCTAACAACCGATGAAAACGATCTGAACCAATCCATTTCCAGACAGTTACTCTAATTAAGGTATTATGCTTACACAAGATTCAGGCTAATCCCTTTCTGAATAAGTACAAAACCAGACCGCGGAGCTCTGACCAACCCGAAAGAACCAAAATCGGTAGACTAAGCAAATGAAGCCTTATTCTGCTGGAGGAACTCCTTCCAGCTGGTGAGCTTGTACCCGGCCTTAGCCACTAAATCCTTACTCTCGTTGAGACTGCGACCATTGAAGTAACCCGGGTTTCCAATGAAGAGATGATTCTCCAGCATTTCCTGGCCAATCGGACCAGGCATGAAAGACATGTACGTTTCGGAGTCTACCTGAACGAACTGCGTTTTCTGTCCTGTCACCTGTTCAAACTCCTCCAGGATGCGAGTAGGCGTATAGTAGTCTTCCGCCACTAGGATCTGAGCACCGAGTGTCTCGGACCGGTTCTTCAAAGATGCAGCGACATATTTGCCTTCATTATGCGTTAGCCAGGACACTCTAACTGAATGAAAAAGCTAAAGACGACATACCCATATCAGCCGCAATATCAATCAACGGAAACTTGGCCTCCTTCCCAACAGGATACGCAACAGTCCACACCCCGTTCTCGCCTTTCCGCAACAGACCAACAGCAGTGTAATTGGTCATGAAATAGCCCGGCAAGACAAAGGTCGCCGGCACTCCCAGCGAGCGAATATACTGCTCCACCTGGGCCTTATGATCGAAGTGATGGACATTCTTGAGACGTCCGGCTGTTGTCTTTGTCACATTAAGCAGAGACGAGTAAATCAAGTGCTGAACATCCAACTCCCTAGCCACGTCGGCGACATTCTTCCCGTGAACCAATTCTGCATCGGAGCCAGGAACACCCCAGGCGGGAATGGTGACTAGGAAGACAGAGTGGCTACCCTCGAGGGCACTCCGGATCGATTCTTTAGAGTTCAGGTCCGCCTAGATGGTCTGTTAGAGCGGGATTCGAGGCAGGATGAAAGATAAGACTTGCATTTCTGATTTCAACTCCCTGCTTAGCCAAAGCTTGGGCTTCTGGCTTGCTGGCATCGCGAGTGATACCGCGAATCTTGAATTGCTTGGACAGCTCCGGGTCGTTGAGGATGGTGCGGATGACGGATCCGCCCTGCTGGCCGGTGGCACCGAAGACAGTGATGATCTTAGACATTTTGCTTGCGAGGTAAATAATAGTAGTATTCAGAGCTTTTGTTGCTTTTTAATCTGTTGAAGTAGTACTGATAATGGAGGAATGATGCTGGGGGATTTTGGCCCGGGGCGGGCTTCCATTATATGTCTGTCGGACCATCCACAGCAGCTGACCATGACGGGCTTCTCGCATCTACTAGGGCTTTTACACATCTCTTACCCATCGCGTTCGACTTCAACTGCGTAGAGGGGTGAATGACATAAACCACCTTGTAAATCGGCCTTGCGTGGCCCCGAGGTTAGTCAAAAGGGCATCCATTCCTGACTAAAAGAGGGCGAGGGTCGGGTTTGATTTCAATCCCGAGGGTGGATCGCCGCCCCGACCGTGACACATCTAGAGATGTTCACGGTCGCCATGTTTCAGGACCGCTTTCTTTTATCACCATAAACTACATAGACGGTAAATTTCTCTGTACAGAAATGGTACTGGTCTTTACATCTCGAGTTATTTCTTACATTTGATTTACGCCGACCAAACACTTCGTCCAAAGACAACCTCGGTCGGGAGCCCGACCGTCACAGCAATGGCTCCCACAGCCACTCCATGCCCGAAACACCAAAACCAGCCATCCCCAGTGAATACGCATCCGGGGGAAGAGATCCTTGACCCAGGGATACCTGAGAGAAATCCATACCTGGCAGAGGGTTTGTATTAAAGGACATCAAACCCGACCCGATGCTATCATCATCCTTAACCTCCGTGCCCAGTGAGGAGCCTGGCGATATCCCCATCTTGGCCGCCCTGGTCGATGCCGTCCGTTGCATCAAGCGCTTGAGGGGCTTCCGGAGCATGACACTCTGGGGCGAGCCATCTTGTTCCCATTGCCGCTGGATCTCCGTCACCACCTGCCAGGCATGGTCGGTCTCGGCCGTGATAGGGCGGTTGCACAGCTCCGCGAGGATGAACGCGACCGTGTGCCACTGCTTATAGGTCTTGCATAGCCACGCCCATTGCGAAGTACTCTCGTTCGTATGCAGCAGAATGGTGAATTTGATCGTTTCGACGGCCGCTTGAAAGGCATCATCGCAGGCGGCTTGCGACCATCCGGATCGAGACTCATGGCTGGCCATTTTGTTGTAATGGGCGTATAGCCACAGTTTTGACAGGGTAAGCCGGATAATCATGGCGTATACCCATTGAATTGGGATGTTCATGTCCAAGTGTTGCAAAAAGCGACCTTCCAGACGGTTCGCTACAGTGGTAACGAGCGGTTCCTGATCAGCGGTGGATTGTGCATCTCTTGCACCACCGTTACGCCGATTCGGCCAGTTAAGTTCCGAGATGATGTCGCACTGGATTATGAGGAGGGTGATATCGGTGGCACCAGTCTTCTCCGGTGGCAGCTCGGTCATGGATGGGTCCAGATCTGCCCCGTCGATGTTATGGGGGAGACGAGTGTCAAACATGCCTGGCTGGATTTGGGTGTCGGTCCCTTGCTCCTCAGAGCACACCATATCCAGAAGACAGATGTGCCACCATAAGCGACGTCGCATTTCCGAGTCAAATGGGCTGAGTCCAAGGCTTTGACCGTCGCGATGAATGCCCTGTCCCTGAGCCACGCGAACCACAACGGCAGACGCCGCCCAGACGAGTCTCGCATCGCCTCTCCAACGGAGACAGAGCAAGAAGATCACCGCAGCTTGCAAGACGCAGATATTCTGGGACTTGATGAAGTTGGCTCGTACCAACGCCTGGTCCACGGCGAGCTGATAGCTCTGGATGGCCTTTTCGCAATCCATACCCACCAAGGTCATGCACTGGTCTGGGGGTATGGTTACGATGGCAGCGAAGCAGACGGCGAGAATGAGTGCTTCGCGGGCAGGGTCCGGATTGATGTTCTCGGATTCTTCGCGTACCATGATCTCCACGGAAGGTACATGTAGAACGGCGAGTAACGGTGCCACATTGTCTTGGTAGACTTGCCATAAGCGCTGCATCTGATCTGGCTGGAGATAGGTGTCCCGTAAACTGTGATTGCGCCAGTTGCCCCCGAGGCTACTGGCGAAGTGCAAGCCGGATGTCTCTGGGGTCTCCAGTTCATCCTCGGAGGATGATGCATCACAGATATCCTGTAGTTCTCGGATCTATAATAGTCACGAACACACCCGTCAGGGCTCTTGTTGGGAGAAGGAACAAGTATCAGACGAGGAAAGTTGATCTAACCTTATCCCCCAGCACAGCCGAGGGAGCATCCCCCACATAACGACTCTTACCTTCCTTGACAACTAGCCTGCCTTCCCGCTCGCCTGGCTCCAGTGGACCAGCGGCCTCCTCCAGAGGATGGCCGAGTGGAGACGCTCCAGCCTCCGCGGGTTGCTGAGCTTGAGCGCGCAGGAGCTGGACCTCTTGCTCTAGCTGTCGCAGCTGGGCCAACACCTCCGCGATGGGAGGCCGTTTGAGCTGTCGGGGCGCTCGCTTGGGACCCGGAAAGACACATTGCTCGCCGCCCTTCACACACCGGCCGCAGGGAAATTTCCGGTCGCATCGGAGCTTTCTGCGATTGCAGGGGATGCAGCTACGGGGATACGTGGTCTGGGATGATGCAGTTGCTTGCGCCGGGTGGGATAAATCATCCATTTTGCGACATCGCCATCCCCTCAAGATTTTAGATGGATTGTTGGCAGAACACGAGGCGGGAGAGAAAGAGCGATCGGGCGCGGTCCGAGACACAGACAGAAAGTAAGAGAAACACCCGGTCGCGTCAGCAGATCCTCACCGACGACGCCTTGGATTCAATCCATCCAGCATTCATCACTGAGCTCTACCTACTCCGCACCCCGCAATCATATGGCTTTGATTATCTTCTCTGCTAGTTACGATGCTAATACTAATGCGATTTGTCTTGATCGCTGCTCTGTGCCAGTTTCATGCGCCACCAACCTTCCCATGCGCTATTCCAGCCCGAGCTAGATTCCTCGGTACGGCCACCCTTGTGTGTCCTCTTTGAGGACGTGGTTTGTTATAGAGACCTGCCAACACCAACAACAACAGCCAGCGGCGCGATTTGGGCCCTTTCCTGGTCGTTTCCATATCGTCAACGGCACTTGCTACCGTGAGGAGACGTCATAACGGGACCAGCCGTGACTTTTCACCGTAGGTTCTTCAGCCGCGACCGTGCTGTAAAGTCAGTCCTTGCGTCTCGAACATGGAAACATCGAGGTGATGTTCACTTGGAATATAATCGACTTTTCGGACTATTCGCAGAAATACTATCCCTCTCCTCCGTCACAATCAGCTCTTTGCTGGACGCACCGAGGCTGTCTCGGATGGCAACTCTGGCAGCAGCGTCTCCGAGGAGCCGACCGATTTGTCGTAGTAGATGTCCGGCACCACCTCTGCTGGGAGCTCAGCGATGAATTCGGCGGGTAGTTCGGCGGGCAATTGAACGATCTCATCAGCAGGCATCTCAATTGGCTTTTTCTGAATGTCTGTGCCGGCAGACGACTGCGATGGCCGTCCGGAAGAAATGGAACCTTTGGTGGAAGCCGAAGAGGTAGCGCACAATTCCGGTCGAGGCGCGAACAGCTCGGAGCGCAGGACGTTCATCAACTCGTCCGCCTCCTCGGGGGGTGGGAACTGGCCCTCGATTAAATCGCGCGCCTTGATCTTCTTCCCATATAACTTCTGGTTTGCGCCGCGGCGTTCGAATATCATGCTCCCTTCCGTACTGAAGCCGCCAAAGAAACCTTGATTATGGCCGTAGACAAAGATGCCCGCCATCCCACCGGCACTGACCACTCCGTTGACTTCGCCAAATCTTCCCGACGGGCCCATGGCAAATGAAGCAGTCTTGCCCAGAGACAAACTCCCCAGCTGGGCAAATGTGCGAACGGCGCTGGTTGTGTTGAGGACGAAGACGAAATTGGTCACCTCCACGCCCAGCTGCGATCCTACTCCGACTCCGGCTGTCAGGATGGCTGAAGGAGCGGACCAGTCGCCGTCCTCGAGGCGCGCGATTAAAATGCCCGAGCCCATTCGTACAGATCCAACGATGCCCAGCTTTGAGACGGAGAAAATTGCGAAGCCCTGCCCTTGGCTGGTCAGTCATTCGCGTAAGGATGTTTTGCGACCGTGGTAATGCCACTTGCCTTGGCAGCTCCGAGGACTTTCGGGGGAATGAGGCTGTCGCGGCCGTCCGGGTTCAATGGGTTCGTAAAGGCGTCTAGAATCCGGGCGGCTTTGTTACATTCACCTGCATGAGGCGTTGGTCAGTCACCGTCTCTTGTGCCAAGTCGAGAATTCAGAGCCAATGTCGCTGTGCGATGATCGAGAGCGGGAATAAACCTACTGCGAAACGAGCCCGGGAAAGGGCTATGCATTTTCCTCAGCTTCTCGAACGGGGGCATGATTGCAGTGATTCCGTTAACAGCGATGATGAAGATAACCGATGGATGGGTTCACTCGCAATAGGGGAGCAGAGTGACACAGAAATAGAAGAACTGAGCTCCATTCAAGTGGGGGAGGTGGTTAAAATCGACATTTTGACTCTGTGTTATCTAGACTAGCGGGGGGCTTGTGTTGAGGCGCAATTTAGGTGTTCTTTCTGCCTTCCAATCAGCAATCCCGGCCACTCTGATCATCATCGTACGTGGGGGAGCTAAAGTCGGCCAGCGCCTGAATTCAATGGATTGGGGGCGAGAAGGATCAGCCTGTGCAAGCCAAAGTGGATCCCGTCAGTCTTTCTCTGCCGTGTCCCATGCACGCTGACCATCTCAATTCAGCAACCACTTCGGAGGGGGTTCCCATTCACGATTGATCTATGCATCCTCATTTACTACTCTTCCTCTTTATACAGTCAATTTCGTCATAAATCAGTGGCTGAGACAGCGGAGTGGCTTGAACTGCCTATCACTTAAGTAGTAGTTCATGATGACCTTGGTGGATATATATTTTCGTCTCCCTGCAGCTGATGACCACCACAAACTCTACCACCTCGCAGCTTCTTTGACTCATATGGCCATGATGATCCGAACCGATTGCCGAAATAGGAACATACCAATAAAACTTGGTACACTCGCCACATGGGAGATCAAACAGACGTCATTACGACCGTGTCGGAGGAAAAACTACTTACGGCCCAGAGTTCATAAACGCAACGGGCATAGATGTCCTGTTATAATCTTCACCCTCATGCCCATGCCCTCGGCGGGGGTTTGGAGCCAGTTAACTTGCCTTTAAGTCCTTTTGAAAAAGAACCTCGATCGATAGACCAGCGGCTATAGACACAGCTCACTTAGAGAAGTAAATTTCACGCCTTGAACAAGTACCCATCAATGTTAGTACCAAATTGTAGCGACTGGACCTTTCCAATTAACATGTTCTAAAGTCAACATCAGTCTGAACGTACGGAAGTCAAAGCCCTTGCGTTGTATTGACTGCCTATTATATAGGAGGCGACAAACGCAGCCGCATTATGTTCACTCCGTATAGGAAATGTTCCAGAGAATTGGGCATCGCTCTATGCCCTCTCATTCTGTCCCATACCCACCCCAACTGTCATTATGTAAGGATGATATTGCACAATTTTGACCTATAAGATGTATTGGCAGACGAACGAGCCGTAGCCTAGTTCAGAGAGGTACGGGGTTAACTTTCATACAGAGTACATTAGAGCTAACCACAACAGAGAGAAACTCCTCCCATACGCATTAGTTTACGCTACTGTGACTCAAAGCAACCCCGGTAGTCTAAATATGGTCTAGGCTAGTGGGCGTTCTTTGCCATCATTGAATTAGAAATAATAGATATTACGCAAGAGAAGTGCTGAAATTAGTGGGGATAAGAATGAGGACGTGGACAGAAATTGGCTATGTATTGAAATAAGTAACTTGGTAGGACGATTGTTAGATTTGTGATTCTAGGGAAATATTCAGAATTAACCATACTTTCTACGGTGCAATAATAGTTACACCGGGTAGGGATTAGAGTTGCATTTCATGGAAAAGTAGCAGAGGTCCATTGGACAACAAACGTATCGCAGAAAGTCTGTATTTGCACAATACAAGGTTATGGAGGTAATCAAAAAATGCAAATACAAATATACAATTTAAGACTGTATCACTATACAGGTCCAAAATCATTGCCTGGACCGCGACCACATCCACACTGTATGCAATTGATGTTAGGGGAAATCACCCCAGCCGATAGCGTACACTTTGGGTGGTACTACTGTAGTGTATTTGCACCCACAGTCAGGCCACACGGCTAACCTGCGCGGTTTTGAGTGGATGAGCACCCAGGCCTCAACTTTCTTAGTATATGAGGCTCGGTAGCACGTGCTAGTCTCAAGGGAAATGATTCGGAACGTGCTGATTATCAGTAGAAAATATAGAGAGTCGGGGCCCTGGGGGAGGTGCCTAGCCGGACCTGGGATACTTATGCCCAATCCGAAAACGGAAGTGAACGTGCTATTTCTCTTAGCGCCGTCAGAAGAAGCTCTTTATGGCTATGAGGGCAGGACCCCGATATGACCTGCACTATATATTAGATTGCGAACGCATGGCCCTGGTGGATGGGTCCCTAACTCCCTGCTTATGCAATGTAACACAGCTATTGAATAGTTCGTGCGATGTACCAATCAAAGTGAAAATGCCGTGAGCGCGTATCACGAAACCATGAGCCTATAATCATATTTATTCCGGGATTGGTGCTTTGAAAAAATCGTAATCGTATCATATTGGACCCTAATTCCAATCAGGGAAGTGCAGTCAGACGCTAAGAAGCGATCCATGTCTGGTGGGGGGCTGGATGGTTTCCACAAACCGTAGGTCTTCCGGCGGGCAAGAAACGGGTTTCATGACTTTGATAACAAAGAGACAAGGCAGCAACTACTTAACTAGTGGGGTTGGGAAGACTTAATCCCTGTAGGGCATCGCGAGCAGCCACAATACAGCGCGTATACTTTCCATAATTCTACCACCTCCCGAGCTACCTAGTCGCAATGGTGGCTACCGAGTGCGAATTTCGCAAAAGCCCCTCCCAGAGTAATCACAGGATGGTATTTAGACACGCGTAGCTCCTAGGAATCTGAGACCATCAATTATAGTACGTATACGAATTGCATTCCCATTATCTCCACCCCAAACACTCATTCTGAACCTACCAGAAAGAGAAATGGCGCGGTGCGATTTGGCCGACCCTGCGGCACGGCCCCTTTCCACGTCTCCCAAAACCGTCGCGAGCAACAGTGCGGCAGTGGCGAACCCAACAGAGGTCGACTGGGATGGTGACGCTGATCCTTCAAACCCCATGAACTGGAGCTTCTGGTATCGATGGTGCCACATCGTCGTGATATCGCTGCTCACGTTCGTCACGTAAGTATGAGCTTTTCTATATGCTGCCAGTTCACGCGCCACCCGGGTCCCCACCGACTATTGCATAGAAGGTCGTAGTTTGGTGGTTTCAATGTTAACCACTGTTGTACTCCGATTATTCCTTCTGCAGCTAATATTGTCGCTCTAGGTCTCTAGGCTCCTCCATGCTGGCCCCTGCAGTCCCCGATGTTATGAGGTCACTAGGCTCCGACAACGCGGAGTTGGAATCGTTTGTAGTATCAATCTATGTCATTGGATATGCTTTAGGCCCGCTTATCGCTGCCCCCATGTCGGAGATATATGGGCGTAGCATAGTTATAACGTGTCGAACGTGCTCTTCCTCGGTGCGACAATTGGATGCGCACTGAGTACTAATGTGGGAATGTTTCTTGTCTTCCGGTTAATCTCCGGCTGTGCTGGAGTGACACCCCTCGCCCTGGGAGGGGGCTCAATTGGGGACCTAATGGCTCCCGAGAAAATGGGGACTGCGATGGCGATTTGGGGACTCGGATCTCTGGTGGCTCCGGTAGAAACTTCCTTTACCAAAAACATCTTGTTTGCCATGTAACTGACCCAATTTCCGATGGCTTGCAGGTTTTTGCCCCTATCGCTGGAGGGTATCTCAGTGAAAATGTTGGTTGGAGATGGATCTTCTGGGTCATAACTATTCCGGTAAGGGGTGTCTATATATGTGAATAGCTCCAGGACTGATCAAACACTGAACTCGTTTGGGTAAATGTAGATGGCTGTTTTAACGATATTGTCAATCGTGACCCTTCGTGAAACGTATGCCCCCATACTGCTGGAACGAAAAGCACGGCGCCTACGAAGAGAGACGGGAGATCGTGATCTCAGGTCACGTTCAGCTACACCGAAATCGCAACATGAGGTTTTTTTTTATGCTCTTGTGCGCCCTTTAAAGATGCTCCTGACTTCCCCGGTTGTCATGATGCTTGCATTTGACGTGGCTGTAGTCTATGGATACCAATACCTGGTTTTTACCACACTGTCATACATTTTCCAAGATGTGTACCATCTCTCGACAGGCCTGTCCGGGCTGGTTTATCTTGGGGATGGGATAGGCACAATATTAGGTATGATGAAACCTTGATTCCTTCCTACGCCAAGCATTCACTTCTGCTACCCCTTCTCTCCACCGGTTCACCCCAGCCTCTCAATTCTTGGTGCACTTGTAGACCCCCCTGTGCACCCTGTCGTATTGCAGACAAGGAACCATTTTGAGATTAATATTGATCACCCCTGAACCAGGGATATTCTCCATCGGTTACGCATCTGATAAGGTTGCTGAGAGAAAGAAAGGAAGACTAAGTGCACCAGACGAAACATTGCCACCAGAAAGCTGGTTATGGCCCATGATACCAGCTAGCCTTCTGACACCAATCGGTCTCCTGTGGTACGGCTGGTCACTACAGGCCGGGTTATTTCCAGTTGTGCCTTTGGTGGGTCTCGGCGTGTTTGGCTTCGGGATGATGGGCATCTTTCAGCCTGTGCAGATCTATCTGGTAAATGCATTCCCAATACATTCGGCATCAGCCCTCGCAGCGAGCAACTTGCTGAGAAGTTTAGTGGGTGCACTGTTGCCACTTGGAGGGCACCGAATGTATGACACCATGGGGCTTGGATGGGGGAATAGTCTACTGGCCTTTATTGCGTTGGCAATGGCGCCGGTCCCGATTATCTTGATGAAGTTTGGGGAACGAATGAGGCTGAGCGATAGAAATATTGAAAATGGAAGGACTCAAGGTTTTACGAGCTGAATACTACGGAGGCGTGAGTTTGGAATGTAAATTGACTGGAGATCTAATCTAGGAAACATGTTATGAACTATGTAGTACTGTGTATTATACTGACCCGCGTATCGCCTATGGTATGGGTTCCTCGTCCATGATGCGAACAACAGAGGTCAGACAGCTCGCAAAGAAAAACAAAACAGCAGCTAGAAGATAAGGTAAGCCCATCCAAAATCCGTCCTGGTGCACCCCGCGTTGAAACGCAGCCGCCAGGATAGGCCCTGAGACCATTGACCCGATACTCTGTGATAGACCAATGGCCGTGTTCAGTACACCAACCTGAGATGGCAGAACCAGAGCTGTAGCCAAGCTTCTGAGTGCTGAGTAAAACCCCCAACCAAATGCAAGTAGGCATACTCCGAATACAAACAGCGGCGGCTGGCTTGCAATGGCCATCAGCGCCATCCCTAGGGTTAGGATCCATGCACTCCACTGCACGACTCGAAGGTCAGTGAGAACCGGGGAAAATGACAGGTGTCTACGCAACCAGTCCGACAGTTTTGGCAACAGAACCAGAAGAGTGAGGAGGTTGATGAGGCCCTTGACCGTGATGAGGTAGCTGGCCCCAGCGATACTCCAGGAGAAGCGTCTCGAAGCATATTGAATGATCAACTGTAATGCCTGACGACCAATACTGGCTAGAAGAAAGGAGCATACGATGCAAATTAAGTTGAGGCACCGTGCGTTGACGGTGAAACTTCTGGCCTGATCCCACAGGCTGCGTAGCGTGGTCGTCAAGAGACGGGTCGGGGCAGAATGAGCAATCGCATCGTCCTGGTTACCTTCACCTTCCCCTTCTTCCGCGTGAAATGTTTTCTGAGGATGCGTCTCGGGCAGAAATGTCGTCCCCAGGAGACCCAGTGACTGGATCGCTACACCGAGTAGCGAGGGAACCCACGGGCTCCAGGACATTAAGAAGGCACTGAGGGGGGTCGCCAGGATCTCTCCTAGTAGGACAGCGGCAGCCATGAGGAAAAAAACAGACGCACTAGTAGTTCGGTTAGCAAGTCCATAGAAATCTAATCCCGCTGGTGGAGTGCAAACCGTTTGCTAACAGGCACCAGATCAGTAATCATGGCATAGGCCATGGCTGTTGATAGCTGAGGACCCCCGCCCACGAGTTGAAAGATCGGGGTCACCCAGACAGTCCGCAGCGGGAGAACGGTATTGCACCAGCATACCACCCGGATGGCCAATTCCTCCATTAGCAGGCCGGTAAGACTGAGCAAGAGGATGGGTTTCCGTCCAACTCGGTCAGCCAGGAAACCATAGGGCAGGGCCAACAGGATCCCTGGTAGCTGGTCAAACATGTCTTTCCACCCGTTGACAAGGGCTAGTTCCGCTTGCACCTCCGGCGACTTGCATCCCGCGCCTACTTCCAGGGCATGACTGTCTGCGCCAAACCGACGACATATGATGGATTCGAAAATGGCGATCTGAGGAGCATATGAAAGATAGTTTCCGAAATCAGCTGCCACCACTGAGGCAAAGATGAGTGGCAGGAGAAAACGCTGGGGGTCTGCTCGTAGGCGGGGGACTCTGGCAGTAGGCTGGTCACAATCAGATGGGCCACTCGGCGGTAATAATGGCTCACACTCTGGGGGCAACTCCGATAGTTGGGGAGCCATGAGTAATAGGAGGAGTTTTGAGGCTGATGCCAAGTTGTGGTGGTTGACTTGCGACTCTTGCTCCGTGGTCTTAGGGGGTGCTGGAGGGCAGAGACGAGATAAGCCTTCTCAGTCGAATGCTGAAAAGGCATGCCCCCAGAGGCGAGACTGTAGCCGTCCGTACTTTAGTCAAATTAATGGCGCCTACGCTATCGGACAGGGGAGCCGTGGCTATCCCCAGGACCCCCTACATAGTTACTATCAGTACTTCGGTTGAGAAGCCCACTCAGCGAGTTAGGGACCGTTCTCGACTAGGCGCCAGCAAAGCGGTTCATCCTGGGCTTGGATTTCACCGACGTACAACCGATGCTTGTGGTTAACGGATTTCGTAATTTTGCAATACGGTCGGTATTGGTAAATGGCAGGGAACCGCACTATAGTCTTATTTCTTACCCTGCAGGTTGGTAAGGGAGAATTTGATGGCGAGCTGGCCAGGATCCCTCCCCCCGAGCAGGCTTGGCCCGGGGAGAAGCCTCTTTTCCCGACGGCTGGGCCGATGTGGTATTGCAGGGAACCCCGGCGGGCAGCATTGAAAATCCACCCACACCGGTGCTCAAGTTACATGGTGGAAGAACTAATCCAGGTCCAAGAAGGTCCAGAAAAACAGTGCAGCATGGCGAGCAAGTTTTGGCGAAGGACACTTACTCACCTCGAGTCAACTCCACACCCGACTCTTCTAGCTACTAGTGAGATTCCCAAGGAATTATCATAATTCGAACAAACTGCCTCAATAGGAGGAAGAAGAGAACTCTGCCAGACTGACCAGCGTCAGGATCAAACCAAGGGGGCTGATAACAACGACCCCGAGGCACAAAATACCGCTTCGGATGAACACATAAACATCATTAGTCTATTCTATGTACAGATCTTTATTCGTAACAACATTAAGCATTACTGGTCTTTTCCATATCACGAGCCGGCGACGCAGCCAGCTTGCTCCGCTGACGGATCCAGGGCCCAAAGATCATGAACGCAACGGGCATGGGGATCATAATGGCGGCAATACATCCCAGCAGAGTGCCTGCCCACTGCACGCCCAGATTGACCATCATTTGCCGCGAGAATAACGGGAAGACGCAGCCCACCGCCGACCGGAGGATAGTGTTTGCCGCGATCGTGGAAGCAGCCCTGTCTCTGTTAGTCCTATGTCATCCTATGCCATGAGTTGCAGGAGGTTACTTACAAAGTGGGATAGCAGTCGACGATATAGTTGAAGCACTGCAGGAAGATGCACAGAATGCCAAATCCGATGAGAATACCAGCTGCTGTCGGAGCAATCCAGTGGATCTTGTTCGTGTACCCGGTCCAACCGAACCTGTTTTGGTTAGCATCGTCTACCACGGTATCTAACAAATTAGACTACTTACCAGAACATGCCAATAGCAAACGCAACTGCGCCAACAATCGCAGCCGGAAGACGCCATTCAGGAATAGGCTTGCCCCCGTTCGCCGCCAGCTTGCGCTTATATGATCCCTGCAGACAGAGGATGAAGACACCTCCAATCAGCTCTCCCAGGATAAGACCGATGAATGCGAGTCCTCCCACGCCTGCGCTCATTCCATACACGTCATCGAAGACGACCGGGTATGCCCCAAGAAGGGCATAGATAAGGCCATACACGAACGAGATGTACAGAGAGATGAGAAGCAGGATCGGCTCCGTGATAAGCATTGACAACGGACGAGTGAAGTTATTCCGGACTAGTTCCTTGATGTCGACCTCCACCTCGTCCTGCTTGGCGTGGATGCCCCAGTTACGGGTCTGTCGACGGAGAACAGCAGCCTTGCGGACCAGAATCACAGGGGCATACGACTCATCCAGGAAGAAGAACACCAGCACAAAAGCAAGGAAGACCATGATTGACGAGATGTACATAGTCCAACGCCACCCCAACGGGCTCGCGGCAATGAATCCACCCACGAATGGCGCAGCAAACGGGCCGATGAACACAGCCATGCAAAAGATCGACATGACAACTCCACGGTGCGCTGCGCTGAACAGGTCGGCAAAGACGGCGGGGACAAGCGAGACGGGACTGGCGGCAAAGAGACCGGCGAAGAAGCGACTGATCATGATGGTCTGGATATCTTTCCCGGTGGCAGAGGCAATGGTGAAGATACCGCATCCGAAGAGTCCAATGGACAACGGCCAGCGTCGTCCGATAAGTTCAGAGGCGGGTGCCCAGATAGTCGGTCCGGCAGCGAACCCGAGAACATACAGCGTGACTCCGAGGGTACTGACTTCTCGACCGACGTGGAATTCCTCACTCACAGCGCTGACTGCTGCAGAGAAGACGGCACTGGTGAAGGCTGTGGCGAAGGTACAATAGCAGAGGATGGTGACTAGGACAGTTCTACAAGCGATGAGAGATGAGCACTTTATATCGGTAAAACGTATTCCAACTCGCACTTCCACTCACCTCCGAATAATAGACCAGTTCCAAGGATGCAGAGGATCATCTGCACCATCGAACTCGACGACATATTTCTCTGGATCAGGAAGCGAAGGCGGATACTCTTTCCCAGCACCCATGGGCAGCCATTCCTGGCGAGGCTCAGGACCTCTCGTGGACCCTACCGTAGCGCGTTGCTGCAGACGGTATGTGTTGATGCGAGCGAGTTCCAGGGAGTCGGGATGATCGGGATGTTCATCGGAATAATCCTCACTATCGGAGGTATGAATCGGAGAGATTTCTTTGGCGTGTTCGGTTACGTGCTCCATGGTTTGCCGATAGCACTGCACCCTGCAGACCGAGTAAAACAACACACTCTTTTCTCACAATCATCTTCGGGAGAGACATGGCAACCACCAGATATAAGTATCAGTGACTAAAGAGCCCCATAGTACTAACTAGCCAGCAAGCAAGAGAGAAAAAAAAGAACCCACTTCACTAAGGGACCCATTATCATACTAGAAACACCCACCATCAGGGTTTTCATACCTGTTCCATCACCTTCTGGCCATGGCACCATACCCATCCCGAGCCCGAGACACCAACAATGCCTTGTCTCCCCGATCCATCTTTTTCCGCTCGCCGTTACGGATACTTCCCTTGGCTCTGATCCATCAGCCACAACTCCGTTCCTGATGCCGTGGAGCCAATCATGATGCTTGCCCTGGATAAAACCATCGAAACTTGACAGCGGATACTCTCGGCGTTGTGGCTCGTGCGGCGGCGAGCCGCTCGGTAATGTGGCTGCGACCGATCCCAACCGAGGATATCCGAGGGTAGGCGTTGGGCACACAAAAATTTCTGGTATACAAAGAGCAGACATATTGATAAGGGATCAAAGTGGGTTGAACTAGTCAATTCATTTAGGAGAATTTGATGTCACTGACTTACGCATGAGGCTGACGCATAACTCTTCATTGGCTAGGAAGACTTACATCAATCCATGTGGTTGTCAGAGCGTCACTGAAATCGGTTCCGTCGGATCAATGCTGAGTGCTGATTGCTTGGCGGTTATCTATTCTTGTTAAAGAAAGTAATATAGATGTGTGGTTATCGGGGACAACGCATTCCATGTCCTGCTTGTGCTTTTTATCTACCATGCTCCCCGCCTATACTCATCGCGCTGGTATCTTGTTTTCCTTACTCCATGAACCTGCTCCGGGCAATAGGCGACTGAGCTTGTATTATATCATCTCATTGTATAGTGACTGATATTTTCATGGTTCTACAAGTGATATCAAGGTTATACTGATTCCACGGGGCAACCATCTTCCACTACGACATGAACGTCGGCAGTGTTGGATCAATGCTACCCCACCACAATCTGCCCCAATGGGCAATATCTATCAAAACTCACCAGGCCCCTTGCCAAAATGACCACCGGCAGGGACCGTCAGCCATGGTACCGAGTTTTCATCATCAGTGTTCGATCCCACCGTATTTCCCCACCAGTTGAAGGTGGTGTTCGTGTATCCGAGGGCGAAGAAAATCACAATGGTGGCGATGGCTGTGCCGGTGTCCATCGCTGCTTGGAAGAGGTCTATCATGGTTAGCTATGAGATTTGCGTCTTGGGTAAGGAGGTATAACTCACAGTTGTACTTCTTCCACCAATCCATGGCACGCTTGCGAATGAGGTAGTTGAACAGGAACCCGAAGATGAACCAGAGCGAGTATTGGGCTGGGCCATGTTAGCACTCTTGGGCATGCTCGAATAGTATGAACGGGACAACGAACTAGTATTAGCAGGAGGGATGTTTCCTGCAGCATTGAAGAAAATGGGTACGTTGACATATTTGACCCAACTCTGCGGATAACGTCGGTAGATCAGGTACACAATCACCGTCACCACGGGCTATTTCTATCAGCAAGTATACAACATATGAGGAGCAGGTCGAACATACACCGATAAGGAAGAAGTACATTAACGAATGATAGACTTGCCCGGACTGGAACATCCGCTGAGGTCCAATGGTACCCCAGATCAGACTGGCGTTGTACATCACCTTGGCGCCGGCGCAGGTAAATCGCTGGGCATTGTCGGTGTCGCATAGTCCGGAGATATGGCCCATCATCCAGCGCAGGACTGCCTTCTATCAGCTTCTGTCCATTGATGGGTAATCGTGTTCTTACCTCCTGTCTGCGTCATGGTGGCGAGGATGCTGGCATATATCTGTCCGAAGAACAGGACACGGGGAGGGATTTTCTAAGCCCGTTAATACCTACAGTCTGCGATCGAACGGGTAGACTCACCATGTACTGCCCCATTTTGAGGTCCTGAGCAAAGTCCATCCCGTGCTTGACGGCATTATACCCGTAACACTTGACCATCATGTTGGCGATGGGCTTGCCCGGCCACGCGTACCCGGCGATCAACTCTGTGATGATGTTCAGAAAGATGCGCTGGTTGGTTGTTCCCTCCAGGATGCCTTCTGGGACAATGAGGACCACGCCCATTCCGCAGCACACAACGATGAAACCCCAGACCGGCAAACCCGTCTCCCAATACTTGGTGGTGAGGATTCCTAGCCCCGCCATGACAACGAACAACGCGCCGTACCACCAGTCCGGAACTTCAGGATACGCGCGCATCAAGCGGCGATGGATGTCTTCGCCTCCGTGACGAGCGTTCTTGAACTTGGCCCAGATCTCTGATCCGTTGTAGAGGTAGGTGTGTACCACGATGGCTGTCACCGCCGCGAAGGACAAACCGTAGGTGAGCGTGTATGACATGGAAAGATACATGGGTGAGTACTCTTTGTATTTACTGAGGACAAAGTCCCCGTTAGAGTCAACAACTCGGGTCACATTATATTCGCTTCCGGTGTTGTCGAAGGTTGAAGAGGATAGCAAAGGCAGGCTGAGCACGCTGTTAACGGAAGGTTCAATATGTATTCATGATTGGGCACTCACTATGCGCTAAACCAGACGTCCTTGTAGTATAAGATGGGCGAGAGGAAGAGGTAGAAAAAGACTACCACGGCAAAGGCATTGCAGGTTATGTAGAAAGGGGTCATGAGAGGGTATCCGGCGTAGTTGATCTGCGTCCAGTCCAGACTGAGGGGCAGCAGGCCCAGACCCGAGTTCATCTACCCATGTCAGCGAGCCCCTGGAAGCATTCGGTATCGAAGCCTTACACCAAAGATAGTGTTGACCTTCTGGTTGTGCGGCGCAATCCAAGTGACGAATGCAAACGCACTGAGTGTCGTCCAGATATAGTCCGGGAACCAGTAGATTGCAAAGGCAAACAGAGTCGCGTACCCAAAGAAGCTGTACCGGCTCAGCGTCCAACCATTGGCGGGTGCCCGGTTTTGGGGTTCATGGAGGGCACGGAACAAGACCGTGGACGACAGGGACTGCGGCCAGATCAAGGCCGCGGGATACACGAGCCAGCGCCGACACATGCCAGCAAGGCCGAACCTAAACTGTCAGACAGATGTACAGGTGGAAGAGTGCAACTGGGATACTTACCCCATCATTTGCGACGTCAGGAGGTAGAGGAATGAGAATCCCGCCCCGTAGTCCTTGCCCCAATATTGCGGCATAACGATGGCTACGAGGGAGCTTGAGGCGTAGGCGATTGAGGCACTGATGTTCACGCACTGGTTTGATCAGCCTTTGGATACAAACGTCATTGGACGTCTAGTGAATCCTACGATGGTAATGAATGCATGCTCCTTGATGCTAAAGGGTCCCGGGTTCAAGTCAAAGGACAATCTGCCGAGTGGCACCCTCCATCGCGGTAGCCTCTCCCATCCTCGTCCAATGGGGAAGACGAGTAACTGAGCGACAACATATTGGACAGTGAGGGATGGCTAAAAAGTTAACTCCAGATACAACTCACGAATGGAGGTTCGCACTTACATATCGCAAACTGAAAAACTGATTGACCGCCGCGAAGACCATAACAAATATCGTGGTCAGAAACCATGCCCGAAATGCTGTGTCACGTCAGTAAGTTGGCCAGTACTTTTGATTCGCCCGGACAGGGTTGACTGACTGTTGCATGGTAAGGTAGGATCATCGGTGTTTGGTACACAGGCAGCGACTTCAGGAACTGAATAGCTGCTGTCAGCAAACGGACAACCTGTGTCAGAACAGAGAGGCAATGCTCACAGGGCGATTGGTCCCCCTCGACGTTCCATTTGAAGGCCTCGAGAGGAGTGAGCTCTTTCTGTTCGGCGACAATATTCTGCCTTTTCAGGTCATCATTCTCCTCGAGCAGCTCGGCATCCAAGTCGGCGACACCGGCTTGCTTAGTCTCAATGGCATCTTTGCCCTCGTTTTCTGGGTGATAGACGGAAGTCATGCCTGCTGCCTCTTGAGTAACGAAGAGGACAACGTTTGGCGCAAGAGCGACCGAGTGAGCAAGCCTTTGTAGGGGATATGCACCGAGGCCGAAAGTATTACCCAGGAGCGGCCATAGACTCCGCGGATACCTGCATCTTATCTGTCACAACGATTGAGCAGGTACCACAAAAGTGGCAGGAGTAGCTGCAGTCTGGCGATAGTCCCACCGTAAATGATAACAACCCGCATGTCAAGCACACCATCCTATCGGGGGGGTACACTTAGCAGATTGGTTCCCTTGCTCATGACCCCAGCGGGCCAAGACCGACCGTGAAGCTCTAGCGGATGCAGTGTCACCAACCGTGAAGGTTTCTGATAAGCTGCCGTTCATCCACGAGTCATATCCACTGCCAGTGGTGGCATCGGAGCGCCCGACACCGGATGGCGATCGTGCATATTCCGGCGTAATTCTGGAATTTCGCGCGAGGTTTTAGTCTGAGCAGCAGCCATGTGGCAGGCAGCAATCATTCAGGGTTGAAGAGCCCTACCAAACATCATTGGGGCCAACTCTTGCGTCTTCTATATTAGGTCTACTAATTCTGGTGGTCCGACGTTGATTCTGTCTTTTGGCGTTGGATGGCGTGCTGGAGCATCGCGTTGACTGGCCTTATCGCCGAGGGCGCTGAGGGGCCCGGATGGAGCTAAGGATGGAAGCTAATCGATGGTCGATCGACCATCTCCTCCAAGCTTGTTAGCACGTTTATCTATCATCGGAGTCCAGCTCATTGGTCGCTAGACTCCGAATCCTAGTCAAGGTTGGTTGTTACTCTATTCCCCGCTTTTCGAGAGGAATTCTCCCGGGAGCCATCGCGCTCATGTCCTTGTCGCTCCCTGCAGTGGATGGCAATCGTGTGATCAACCCATGCTGATTTGTTCCCTATTGGAGTCAAAAATTGCGAGTTGGTCAGTTGGAGTGGGGTAGTACGCCGATACAGGTCTTCTATTCACCGTCAGCCGACATCCTGGTTAGTCGGTCGCAGCTAAGGCAACATTGGGATTTAGCGAGCTGGCAGGTGACAGGCTTTGGAGTTTCGCTCTATTACTCAATTCTACATGACCTCCACAACTTCTCTAGTACAGTGTTTCCCATCACTGCTCTCGCATCCACAGTTCATGGTCTGGACGCCCAGTGATGACGAACACAATCAGTGCGTGGGTTGTTTTGCCCAGGCACGCGGAGTTGTATCCCAAGAGAGAAGGTCTGGCCAGTGGCCGCGGCCGCCAGCCTTACAGGTTTTAGTCCAGGCAGATGGGGGGAGAATGCCAGCGGACGGCTTCCAAGTCAAGGCCAATACACGACAAGCTTTGTAGACAAGATGCCATGGCCAAAGCTCACCTGTACTTAGAAGGCAGGAGATACATCTAGCTCCTGATTGGGTTGCCTTGAGCCAGAAGGCGTCCGAGCGAGCGATAGCAGAACCTTCAGCTGCGGTCAACGCCGATCACCCTGGTGTCCCGGTCAGCTGGCCACATTCAGCCCAATGCTGCATATATACAAACAGTTGGCTGGTTATGTTTCTGGGATGATTTGTGCTGGACAGATACTTTGTCGAAAAATGGTAGTCGGCTGCCAGAGTTTTGCCGATCGCGCTGCGCAGAAATCAGTTGAAAAAAGCAACTCTTCCCCACAGTCAATCTGGGATGAGCGACTGCAATACCACTCCGGGGGAGTGTGAGCCGAGGCTGCATCATTACCATGCTCATAAGTCTCATTCTTTGTTCGTTCGGTATTGCATCCCTTGCACCGACCTGGTGTACCATCTGATTTTGAGTGCAGCAAGGGTAAGGTTCTTATGAAAGCAAGTTATGCATTCACTAGGGATCCCCAACAACTCTCGGCTCTCTGTTTGTCTCAAATGCGGGAAAGCAAGGAGTGAAAATATAATAACCGGGTCCAGCAATAATTAATCCGCCCGGCGACGGCTGCGATGTCAAGAATATGCGCCTTAAAAGTGGTCTATCATAATGACCAGCAGGTACCATTCCGATGTGCCGGACGGTCTGGTTGTTGCCGGAATATTTTATTGAAGTCGTCGCATACCATACTTTCACTGCCTACACATCGACCTGAACTTGGAGGATGCTGTCTATAAGAACGATAGCCAGAGCCAAGCTGTGGGGACGATGGATGACATGGGCCGGACATAAGATCGGGGATAACGGTGGAGAGCGAAAAACGTCGTCGCAAACCAGTGCCTGCTCCTCCAACACACGAGTTTAGCATTCTCTGAGTGTCTGTCTGAGCAGTGCGAGCTACCACTCATCTTGCACGTTGCATCTCTACGTGGATCAACCATGCGGGAAGCGGTAGGTGGACATGCGGCTGCTCACCGCGACTCCACATCACTGCCGCAGCAGATTGAGCTTGGGCTCGAGGATGTGTGGATTGGTGTGACCGATCCGAAGGAGAGGCGCAGGCTGCAGAACAGGTTAAATCAGAGGGCCCGAAGTAGGTTGGCAAACGAGTCTCTCCCAAGTGGGCTGGCTGACGATCCAAATAGGGCGCCGTCAGCACTTGGCTAAAGAGCTACCCAGAAGATCTGAGCGATATGATTCTCAGGCCTGGTCCACAACAGTATCGGCGCCCTATCAACTCGATTTACAATGCTTGGATGAACTCCGCATCTTTGGTCCGCTTGCCGCAAAATCCCGCAGTACCCTGCAGCAACTAGAAGCTATGGTGCATGTTGAGTTTGCACTTGGCTCACCACAGGCCGATTTGCGTTTGGGCGTAACTCGGTTGAACATTTTGCGGGCATTGTACACCAATGTTGACATTTTAGGTTATGATGCCAAAGATATGGCTGCCGATGAGGTGCTGTCAATGTTCGCCATGATTGGGCCACGATGTCTGGCAACAGCCGGTCGGGAGGCTGTCCTGCCTCCTGCATTGCAGCCTACAGAGATTCAACGCACTGTACCCCATCATCCCTGGCTCGACCTCATCCCCATTCCCGGGATGCGCGACAACCTCATTCTGATGGAAGATCTGATGGATGATCGCCAATTGTGTCGGGATATGTGCGGCTACCGCTCTCAGGTACCTCGGTCAGGGCATAGACGCCCTACAGGGATGGGAGAAACAGGAGTGATTGTGTGGAAAGATCCCTGGGATCCTGCTGGGTGGGAGATCACCGAGACCTTCTTCCAGCTGTGGGGGTGGTCCGTCAAGGATTGCTGGGGTTTGTTTAGTTCGACCAATGCATGGCGGATGCGCCGGGGAGAGAGACCACTCTTTGCAATACGTTCTACCGATAGCTATTAGTGGAGTGGGAATGCATCTAGGACTTTTAGATTATACTTTGCCATCCGTCGGTTTGATCATCTGGATGAGGTGTCACTGGATCGAACTATAACTACCCTTTACTCCTGGTAGTAAATGAACCGGTAATAGTCGTATGAATATATATCTGGCAATCCAGGGTGAAGTCAGTAACAGATTTCATCACCTGGCGACTGTCAGTGGGTACTGTAAACCAACGAGCCTCAACCTGCTATACGAATTATCGAAGCAGTGAGACAGAGACAACACAGGGCTCCGACGATGAAGCGTATAGGTGATCTGCATACCCTCTACTGTGTATCATCAGGTGAAGCCAGCCAGCCATTATTGAGAGGAGAAACCGCTCCTTTCCCAATCCAGCCTAGTGGGAGTGCGGATGATAGCATTTAGCGCTGCACTAACCCCCTTGGGAGGGTGACCTAACCGGAGGCGGTTAGCTGATCGGATTCGTGTGACGATTTTGAAGCCTGAGGCACCAATGCCAGAAATGGAATGACAGCCAGACGACCTGCGTGAAGAGCCCTTGGGATATCATCAGCCAGAGACAGGATTAGTCCCGTTATCGCTGCTGTCGTGAAACATTAAAAGGTGGACACCAATGAATCCCGCTGACACGGTTGCGAGTGGGATTGGGCATCACTGCGGGTCGAGCAAATGGGTAGTACAGAAAAAGCACATTGCTGCAGACATGCAGAGATACATTTTCATGACAGATATCCGTTCATCGATTTGATAACATTATATCATGATAGGACATACGGATTGCCAAAAGCAAGATACCAGTTGATATACATACAATCCCAGCTCCCAACACCAGACGCCTCCATCGTGCTTATTTTATTGATATTATACACCATGTTGATCAAACGTACCCATTCCACACTTTAAAATTAATCCTTCTTCTGGTGGCTCGGTGCACGACCGACTCTGTTCTCTCCCGTCTGTCCGCCAACCATGGTATGGATGTCCTTTTGCGAATACAGCTTCTCCTCCTTGCTGGGCGATTGGGCGCGGAAGAACATCCAACCGCCGGCGATCATTCCGATCACACTGAAGATGGCAATGTTGCGGGAACTGCAGTGGTACTGTCAGTAACCACGCATGACACAGTCAAAGATGCAGAAAGCAGTGACGTACCGAACAGAGGGCGGGTGACCGCCAGTAAGACCTCCAGCAGCAGGCATTGTGTTTGATGAGGAGAAAGCGATGTGGAATAGTGATACTAGTGATTCAGTAGTGAATAACACAATTTCACTTTGAACGAACCTGTTGACTATGAGCAATGAGGACCTCCTCAATGCTAATATATCTCTGGATGCGATGGCGGATCGGTGACGTCAAAATTAAGCGTCCGTCGGGAGAGCGACAGTCGGTTCGTGTTCCGGCGGATAAGCTTATAACCTCGTCGTCTCTTTCACAAGCCGGCTGCTACTTTACGAGCTTGCGTCAGGGCGACGTTATCATCGATGAACCGAAGGGATCATGTCCTGCAATGACAGTTTCCCTCATTATGTAACTGCGCGGTAGGAGATCGGATAATGGGCTGTCGCTCATCCTCTAGACCATTCACAGCAATTACTAAATAGATATATCGGATGAAGTTCTAAGATCGACAGGACTGACAGGAGTCCTATCCAATGGATAGTTTGCTAATAACAATATTAACTGGTTGAGCACAATGAGTGGTAGGGCACGCTAGTCACAAACATCATCCTCATCCAGACACGAACCGATTAACTACAATAGCAACTAAACTCACAGCGATACAAGTAATCCAAAGTACATTATTCAATCCAAAACAATGCAATTCATTCAAGCTTCACACAGTCAACTGCTAAAAAGTCTAGCCCCGAGTCGACCCTCGCCGATCGATAAAGTGCGGCAACGGAAGCTATACAACCCACCGACGTCATCGAGTCCTTAACGCGGCGATCGATCGATCCACAATTCCAGCCATTCTCAACAATTCCAATGTTATCAGAAAATCCCCGACATTCAAAATATTCCCCCACCGAACCAAACCAGAGCGCGACTGATATACACAATAAAATGGAAGTACTGTACACCAAACCTCAATCTTCCCCTTACTTCTTCGGAGGACCGCAGTAAGTACACTCCTCAAACCATCACATGCAATCGCATCTAACAAAAAGTCCAAGACCCTGGTCCTCCTTCTCCTGGGCCTCCTCGGATGACCGCGTCCGCGGCGGCTCCTCACATTCCTACCTCACCATTAACAAAGACACCAACACTGCTATCTTCCACGGCAATCTCGACATCAAGACCCTCGGCGGAGCAGGCTTCGCCTCGCAACACACTGCCAGCACCACTGAATTATGGGATCTTAGTAGCTACGCTGGATTGGAACTATCTATCCCTAAAAGTGATGGACACACGTATACGTTGAATTTGAGGGATGAACTGCAGGATCCTCGACCGGATGGACGCCAACGGAGCGGGTTGGTCTGGGAGGCGAAGTTCAAGGTCGAGAAGGGACAGACGAAGGTGAGGTTGGGATGGAAGGAGTTTCGGCCGACGTATCGTGGGAGGGAGGTCCATATGGGGAGACCGTTGATCTTGGCGGGGGTGAAGAGGTTCGAGATTATGATTCGGAGGTGAGTCCCTTCCTTTTGAATGGAGTTGGTATGGTGCTAACCTGGTGGTGATAGTTTCTTTGGGGAACAGGAAGGAGATTTTGAATTGGAAATAGAGTCGATCAAGGGCATTGAGCAAGAAAAAGGACGGTATCGGGATGACCCAAATGACAGTGGAGACGATGATAAATACTATGATGAGAAGCAGCAGCCTTACAGTGAGGATGAAGACACTGGATTAGGCTGGCTATGCTGTGGAATATGCTAGATTGCCTCTAATAGTCTACTGATACGCGTTAAATCGAACAGGTATCATCTGCTCATAGTTCAGCGCTTTCCGCATACTCTCCCGTCTTCACAAACGTCTCAATCACGCGAATCAACCGACCCAACTTGACGGCATCCTCCGCTCCCACAGTCAAGGCCGCATAACTGATCTCTTTCTTCGAGTCAATGACCCATGCGCTTATGATCAACTTTCCTTGTGCGATCTCCACCGCAAACTGTTCCTCAAACAGACTTCGTGAACACGGAATGAGTAAGCGTGAAAGAACCGCCGCTTCGTATAGCCCGCGCTGCATGAAATGATTCTTAAGAAGCCCCAAATGGTAAGATCCAGTAACGCGTGGATTCACGTCGACAATCAGAAGCTCCCCATTCGCGTCCGTCATGATATCAGCTCCTGCCGGTCCGTAGTACCCTTTGCTGTGCAGGGCTTTGGCCAAAGCTTCTATCGTAGATTTATACCGATCCTGGAACATGGGTTGCAAAGGGTACGACACGCACCCACCATTCCAGACTCCTTCCTGGTCGAAACGTTGCTGAGATGTTGCCAGGTACACTGGCCGGCCCTTCTTCGTAACGAAGAATGTCACTCCATGGGCCTCCCCTGGTATTAATTCCTGGATCACGAAGCTTGCGGGATACAATCGCTCATGCTCTTCATTGATTTTCTCAAGCACGTCTTTGAGGATGCTCCGCAACTCAACCACAGCAGTCTCTCTTTCTGATTCACTTCGGATGACGTATGTTCCATAGCCCGAGGTAGCAATCGATACTTTCACCACAAACGGGAGCCCTTGCTGCTGAACAGCTTGCAGCATCCTTTCGACCTCTGCATCGACGCCTGCTTTCCAAGACTTGATTGGTAGCGGGTCGATGATCTTGGATTTTGGTGTTGGCAGGCCGCTCACTGCTAACCAGCGCTTGGACAGGACCTCGTAAAGCATCTCTGGATCCACTGCATGATCGAACCTTGTGCAAGTGTGATCCTGTGGAACAATAAATACTGCACGCGAGTCGGGGGCTAACTGGCAATCGTGCATACCCCTAATAAATCGCACTTCAGGCCGTTGATCCGTGCTCAATTGATCGTAGAGGCGTACTACTTCGTCCTGAGAGGTTCTCAAGATGTTTGGAAGGTCTTCACCTCCATTCCCACTCAGGTCAATCATCGCAACAGGGGTACGACCAGCGATGAAAGAATATCGTTGAGCGATACTGCGCTTTTGTAGATTCGGCGCCTCCCCTTTTGTATGTGCACCAGGAAAGTTGGCAGCGTACACAAACCGTGCACCCGAAGGCAAGTTAATCTGGTCTCGGGGAAACTTGCAGGGGTGATCATAGGCGAGAACAATGTTTTGTGGGGTATCATTGTCCAATGAATATAGGTCATGCAAGGTACAGTCGAGTGTGATGGGAACTTTGGTAATGGGTGCCTTAGTCGAGGGATATGGCTCTGGCGGCACCAGTGGCAGTGGCTGGATGAGTGTCACAGCAGTCATCGTTTCAGTTAATTGAGAGCCTTGATGTTGTTTTCCTTGCACGTCTCTTTGATAGTTTCACCTGAGCGTCCAGTCCATGGGGATTTATGCGAGAGCCATCTTCATTCAGCCATAACACATGCCCCATTGCCCACGGAACAACGACATCAGGGCTGCCTAACCAGAATGGTTTCCTGTAGTTAGTCGACGTAAGGAGACGTCATGAGGGAAGTTGATTACCGTTCGCGGTCGAAATTTCCGCGGAAGTTCAAATCAAACTCGCCGCGGACCGAACCATCATGTAGCCTACCAGACAGGTAGATAACCAAAGATAGTACCAGTAGTGAAGCCGGTAGATTTCTCTTGGAGTCATTGATCCTTTTCCCGGTGCAGCAAGTGGGCGGGCGATTTCCCCACGCCTGAGATGGGTCCTGCAGATCGATGCAACCTTGGGACGTTGTGGGCTCGGGTATATCGGGACCCGCATTTGGCAGGCTAAGATGTACCAATATGTTCGTGAAGATCCTGTGTGAAAAAGTTTCAGCTTCAATAAACGTCGCATTCAAGGCCCCATTCAAGCACCCATTTCAACATAATGAATAACTTTTACACAGCCAATTGAGCTGTTACACAGAAAAGGGGATTTTGGGCTGGGGTGAATGGGAAAATTGGAAGAAAGCGTGAAGAGAAGGAAAGTACCATCGGAGACGCCCATCTCTTGGCTCCACCAGTACAATGACTAGTTGCCTACTGCAGCAGTTTTGCTTCCCTCAGTAGCCTAACCCTACCATTCTAACAAACCACTAGATTGATTGGACTCGCAGCAAAGCTCTTTAGCTAGACATGTACGGGACTGGTTTCCGTTCTGTTCTTTCACACCTCCGGAAATGGTCGACAGCTACCGCAGGCGTCCAGGGTGGCTTGATGCCTATGGTAACCCTCTTCGCCATATCCAATAATGGCCAAGGGCTCCACTATGGACAATGAAATGTCAGGATGCTCTCTAGCGTGGCCCGTGCCTTTGCTTGGGCTGATATTGAACCATGGCTTAATGGCGCACATCAACCATGGCGTCTTCGCTGAGACTCTCGGAGCTGTAGGTTAGCAGTACCGAATCACAAACAAAAAGACTCTAGAATCCCGTACATTAGCCTCCATTCCCACAAGAGCATACGTCAAAGTCATTAGACACCCTCCTGCTTCTCACCCCCTGAGTAAGGACTTTGTGGGACGCGCAAGAAGCGGCCCATTAAATCTTGGTATCATCTCGGTGTCCCCGAAACTCTAGACTGCATCCGCACGGAGAGAAGCGATTTACCTATTCAGCTCACACTGCGGTAGCATCTCACCAACGTGAATTTCACATCAAAGCTGAGATCACACGATTACATACCCGGTTCGCCGAAAATTGAATGTAGTCATTCACCGGAGGCAAATAGCATGATGTTCAATTTCGTTCTAGAGGGAGATGTCAGCTGTACAAATGGATCGAGCCATAAGAGCTGGCCTTCCTCATTATAAGCTTACATCTTGGCAGCTAAATTAGCTTTCAGAGTCAGAACTAAGCCAGCCTGTGTGACATCCTGACTGTACGTAGACGTTCAAGGCACCTGCAACGGACAATCATGTTATGATTCATGCAGTCCGACACCCTCCACTCACCATGGACATCCGGCGCAGATATGGGTATACCACAATTAGTTCCACCGGGATGTTCCATTTGCCTTTGCACAACATAGCCATGGAATATGTAGGAGCCCAGCGGGCTTGAAATACATCTGGAAAGGCCTTCGCCGCCCGGCTTTCGGAGGATAGCGCATAAGGTCGACTGCCGTAACCTCCGCTTGTTGCACAAGCCTTGAATCTGGGGAGGATGACTGGGGATGTGTAACAACCCCATACTCTGAACTGACGACTCTAACCTTCTCACCATCTTGGCATCGGAAGTTCCTGCGCCAACGAGGGGTTATTGCATGAGCAGCGATAGTAAACTTGATCCCAAGCGTCAGAGGGATGTTCCGGATACCCTCCGAATGGAACCGAGCCAGTACACCCTCCGAGAGAACAAGATTCTATTAACAAGTTGTAATACAGCGGTAGTCATGCGTTGGAGGGGAAGAAACCTTTGATCGACTTGTCAATCAACTGCGGCTTAATGAGAAGCTTATATAGAGACCTTTGGCTTGCCTCAGAAGGCATCATTCTCAAGCTCGATCACGACAGGACCCACCAACAGATCAACAGCCCAATAGTTAAGCTCCATTATGCATGTACTGCTTCTGCTCATTTCAATAACATGCTAACAAGCCAATTAGCATCAACATGAGATTTACCTTGCTTGCATCTATGGCCCTCCTGGGTCTTGCCCTGGCTGCTGCAACGGAGCCCAACACCGACGACGTTGGCAGTACCAAGGTCACTGATGGCACTCTCGATGTATGAGACCTCGCCCACATCCTCATCTGCAAATCTAATCGTCTTGGACTCACCAGGTGATTTATTGTGGCGAACGTTGCGAATACGACTGGGAATGTCGTCGCGGAAACCGCTGCCACGAATGCCGCAAGCAACACCATGAAGTGAGTAAATTTTGTTCACTGCTAATCTGATTATTAACTGATATATACTAGCGCTATGGCCGCTGCCGCGAGCGATATGACTGAGACGGTAGTCGAAAACGCCTGGTAAGGTGATGTCTCCGGGACATGGCTGATGGCGGATTGAATGGTGAAATTGAAACATTGTCTTTATCTATGCTCAGGCACTGAAGGAATGATATTTTCACTCAATATATATCCCTACAATGTTATACAGCGGATGGAATCGTATTACTGCTTCCACGCTGCAGGGAACCCGACTGCAGTGGAAGGAATACACAATGCGAGAGCCACAGGCGAGTGGACCTTGTACCTGGGGTACGAGTTGGGACATGTCAAGAAGTACCGTTCACGAGGCTGAAGGGGTGGAGAAGATGAATGTAGACCTATGAGGGGTAGTGAGTTGTATGATATCTAGACCGAGTGAACATTGCAGCGCAAGAACTGTCAATATATTGTCCACCAGTAGAGTAGTCTACTAGCACTTCGACAGTAAGGATCTAGACTGTGCCAAAACTTGGAAGTTGTGCTGGCGGACTCTATTTATTGAAGATACATAAGACCAGTTCATGAAACGCGTCTGATGTGTGAAATGTTGGGTGTGACTGGTCTATGTGATACGGAATTATTCCGGCATCGGATATCACCTCAACGTAGCCGAGGAAGCGCATGTATAAAGGCCATCGAATGGCCTCTTCTGTTGAATATATTGAACCTACAATTATCCACAATGCGAGTCTACTCATCGATCGACTCCAGCAATGCCCTCGCCTTCCACAACGGTCGCGTATATACCATCAACAGCGACCAACCCTGGGCCGAGGCATTCATTGTATCCCCGACGGGGATCATCGAACACATTGGTAGCAACGCAGATATCTTGGAAATAGCCTCGGCTCGCGGCCTCATCCAGTATGACCTTCGCCAGCGCTTCGTCATGCCGGGCATCCACGACGCCCATACCCACCTTCTCGTCGCCGGCCTCCAAGCGCTGAACGAAGCCCGCATCGGCTTCGACTCCACACCCGACAACCTCACGTCTCGACTCGCGAGGGGTTCGTGCGCATGCGCCTACGCTAATGTCACAGGGGACTGGCTTATCGGAAACTTCTACCAGGCCAGCCATTTCCCCAACGGCGTGCCCGATCGCAAATACCTAGATGGTCAGTACCCGGACCAACCCGTGCTCATCCGCGAAGTCTCCTGCCATCGGATCTTATTGAACACGGCCGGGCTCATTCGTGCGGGAATCGATCCTAATGGTGCCCCGGATCCAGATGGCGGGTACTACGTCCGCCGACAAGACGGGATAACTCTGACGGGGGAAGTAGTGGAGAACGCCATGACAGCTGTCTTTGACTGTCTGCCTATTCCGCCCTTGGCGCATGTCAAACGCGCGATCCACCATGCGGTGTCTATATGCCATAAATTCGGGATCACATCGTGCCAGGAAGCGTCGGCAAATACCCTGTACCTACATGCTGTGCGAGAATTGGAGTTGGAGAACCGGCTGGATCTAGATATCCATACGCATATTGTGTCCGCACCGGTATACTTTGCCATGGAGCCACAGGACAGCCTGGCTGGATTGATCGATGTGGCGGAGGGGTTCAGAAGCCGACATGTGCATACTCAGTTTGTGAAGTTCTGGCTGGATGGCGCACCTCTGCCTCCGGAATTCACGCAGGCGGATCTGGATGCGAATGGTCAGCCAATCCCCACACATTTGGCAGTCGATAAGGATTTCCTCTATAAAGCCGTGAAAAAATACGATGGCCGGGGCATGACATGTAAACTGCACGTCGCCGGCGAGGGATCTGCTCGACTCGCGCTGGATGTCATCGCCAAGGTCCGGGAAGGGAATCCGGTTGGTCCCAGACACGAGCTTGCCCATTGCAATGCCGTGCACAAAGGTATGTTTATTACAGCTTTCTGTATGGCTTCACGGGCTAATAAAGTGTCAGATGACATCGCGCGGTTTGCTCCGTTAAACGTGACGGCGGAAATGTCACCCGCCATCTTCCATCACGATGTAGTGGAAGAGTATCCCGAACTCAACAAATGGGCGTTCAACGGGGTGCTTGCGTCGGGCGCACTCATGACCATTGGCTCGGACTGGATGCTCCCTGAGACGCCATCATTATTTGACGCCCTTGCTGCGATTGTTGAACGCGTCCGATACAAACCTGGAGGGAGATGCCGGCGTCTCGCGTTGGGGGAGACGGCAATGCAACGCGGAGGAGAGATCCTTTGTCGCGTGCTGACGCTCAGCGGAGCAGAGGCTGTTGGGGTGCATCATCGCACTGGCAGTTTGGAAGTGGGCAAGGTGGCCAATTTCATTGTTGTTGATCGGGACTTGAGCCAAGGGAATTTCAAGGGTGCGAACGTGCTGGAGACGTGGTTTGAGGGGAGGAAGGTGTACCAGGCGTAAGGCTGACGGAGATTGTACGTCCTGCCAACCAGTAAGTAGCGTTGGTCAAACTGTTGAATGGAATCATTATTGAATCGAGGCCGCGTACACACCATGAACAACTGTTGCTGCCTGTTGGAACCCCAACGTTAAGCCAGCGTCTATATAGCCAGGGTCCCCGCACTAACACAACTAACCGAACCGGGCTGAACCTCAACACCTTTCATAATCTTACCTCTGAACACCACAGACATGCCTGATAATACCCAGCTGCTCGAGTTTATAGCGCAAAAGCGTTTCCACCAGCGGATTGTCTTGCCTGCTACTACAGAGCATGGGCGTCTCGCGGTTACCTACGCAGACATCGGGCCCCAAACAAAGAAAGATGGCTCACCCACCCCAACTATGCTGCTGATTCAGGGGATGGCAGGATCACGGCTCTGGTGCTGCCAGAAAGACCACCTAGCCAACAAACTGGGGGTCAGAATGTTATCCATCGACCGGTATTCTTTTTCACCTATATCTACCGTTCATAAATGAAAGCTGACAACATAGGCCCGGCATTGGCGGGTCAACTCCCGTCCCCCCTGAAAAACGAGTCAAAGTATGGCTGGAAACAGTGTCAGCTGTGCTGGAACATCTATCCATCAAGCATGTCGTCCCGATATCTCACAGTGCCGGCACTATCTACCTCTTGAACTTACTATCTCGTCGGCGCGACCTTCTCTGGCCGAAAATGCCATTGGCAGTACTGATGGGTTAGCTTGTTTTCTGCCATCAATTAAACTCACAAGCAGGCTAATATTCGCAGCTCCGTGGGTGGAGCCCAAATACTCGGACATTCTCTCCTTACAAATGGCCAAAATGCTGCCTACTGGCGTCCTGAAGCAATGGAACAAGGTGATGAAATTCGTGGTCACCAAAGCAGCGCCTTCTCTCAGTTCGAGTGTGGATATTCTCTCCTCGATGGGCGGCAGTATCCCCCGTGGGTCCACAGAAGACATTAATCACCGTGAACCCAACCTCACGGCAGATGAGATAGGCCCACGGACCGCCAAACAGTTGGAGAACTTGTGCATTGAGTATATTTTCCTGGAAGATACCACAGGAATGAACGATGAGGCTGTCGTCTGCCTGAAGAAGACAGCCGGGTTGTGGGGAGCCTGCGAAGATCTGCCTATCTATATCCGCTGGCTGGTGCAGGCCGAAGAATGGTACAAACAAGGCCACCCGGAGGAGCAGGAACCTTTGCAGGTCAAGGCCATTTTTGCGGAGAAGGATGGGATGATTGGACCCCAGGGACAGAAATACTTCGAGAACTGCTTTGCCCCTATCAATCTCAATAATGTGGTTTCTTTTCAGTCGGTCATGGAGAAAGGGACAGGACATGACACCCTCTGGGCCTCGGAAACAGGAGCATTTCTGAAGGTGATGGAAGATATTAAAGAGGCAACATCTCAATAATTTTGTCCTTGAAAGCCAGCATGATGAATGGGCTTTCCTTCCCTCTCTGTGCTGCTCACTTGGACTGCATGAACAGCAGGCGCCCATCCGAATATCCGAGAATGCCCCATTTGTCAGCAAAACCCGAACCCGAAAATGTCACCATCGGAGGGTCCATTAATAATTCATTATAACCTCAATGACGCGCTGGGTATAAAACCCATCCCGCCATTGTTCATCATGTCTCATTCGCTACAGCAATTGCCTTTGATTCCCTTTCTTCAGATCTCCTCTACGCCATGGGTTCCGTGAATCAAGCCCCCCGTGTGATTCCCTCCACGGAGACCCCCTACTTCACCCCCGCCAACAACGGCGGCGAGGCCCTCAACCCCGCCGATCCCAACACTCCCACGCTCTTCCGCCCCTTGAAGATTCGCAATGTGACCCTCAAGAACCGCGTCGTCGTCTCGCCCATGTGCATGTACTCCGCCGAAAGCGATCCCTCCTCTCCCTTCGTCGGCGCCCTCACGGATTACCACATTGCCCACCTGGGCCAATTCGCTCTGAAAGGCGCCGGTCTCGTCTTCGTCGAAGCCCAGGCTGTCCAGCCCAACGGGCGCATTTCCCCCAACGATGCGGGTCTGTGGGAACATTCCCCGGAATCGGAACAATTCAAGAGTCTGCAGCGCGTGGTGCGCTTCTGTCACAGCCAGGGTGCCAAGGTAGCCGTTCAGCTCGCCCACGCGGGTCGCAAGGCGAGCGTACTCCCTCCGTGGATTGGCGTGCAGGCCAAGAAGCCTTGCGTCAAGGCGGACGAGAGCACGGGCGGATTCCCGTCCGACGTGGTCGGGCCCAGCGGTGGTGCGGACCAGGCCTGGGATGGAACTGGCGAGGGATACTGGGCGCCTCGGGCCTTGACGGTCGAGGAGATCAAGGAGATAGTGCAAGCCTTCGCCAAGAGTGCGGAGACTGCTATCCGGGCGGGCGTTGATGTGATCGAGGTCCACGCTGCTCACGGATATCTGATCAACCAGTTCTTGAGCCCGGTGACCAACAAGCGGACGGACGAGTATGGAGGCAGCTTCGAGAACCGCACGCGCATTCTCCGGGAAGTCATGACGGCCATTCGGGCGGCCGTCCCCAGCGGTACCCCATTGTTCCTGAGAATCAGCGCAACGGAATGGCTGGACGGACAAGATGTTGCGGCGGAATCGGGCAGCTGGAACGTCGACAGCTCGCTCAAGCTTTTGCCTCTGCTTCCGGAACTCGGAGTCGACCTCTTGGATGTCAGCTCCGGAGGTAACCACCATAGCCAGAAGATTAACATTCACACCAACTATCACATTGACTTGGCCGCACAGTTGCGCAAAGCCATCCATGCGACCGGCGCGAAGACGCTGGTGGGCGCGGTCGGATTCATCACCGAAGCCGACCAGGCTCGGGGACTCGTGGAAGGCGCCGACGAGGCTCACGCCGCTAATGCGACGGTATCTGGACCGGAGCCCGTGGCAGATTTGGTGTTGATGGCACGGCAATTCATGCGTGAGCCGGAATGGGTGATGAACGCGGCGAAGAAGCTGGGGGCAAAGGTGGAGGTACCGGTGCAGTTCTGGCGGGCTGGACTGGTTTGATCAATGTGCGATCTAGATATTAGACTAGATTAGAGACCTAAATAATCAAGTATCGCAATAGAGAGAGCTAAGAAATTTACTACTCCGCAGCGACATTTGAATTGCCGAGCCGACCCGAGCAAGACGGCGGCACACGGAGACCTCCGAGCAGGGCAGGATCCGAGCAGAGCTACTTACTCCTTCGGGATAACATCGCGCAATCCAGAACCTTGGGGGCGCCACCGACTAATGGATAGTTGTGATTTAGTTGCAGTTGGGGTAAGTCTAACTAGTTAAGTAGCTACTTATTAATGATTGATTTCTCCCACCCACCATTCACTACCCCGCAGTTCCCTCTCTTCGACATCAACCAACAACTTCCCCATCCCTTGATTCCCTTCCAATACCCTCCCACCCGCACTATTAACCATGGCTCTCAAACCCGGCGATTCCTTCCCTTCGGATGTTGTCTTCCAGTGCGTTTAATAATGTATAAGCAATCTCAATATATATCTAACAAACAGCCAGGTACATTCCCTGGAGCGAAGACAAGGGCGAGATCACCGCATGCGGCATCCCTATTAACTACAACGCCTCGAAAGAATGGGCCGATAAGAAGGTTGTTCTATTCTCCGTGCCTGGTATGGTCCCACCCCAATCTACTGCTTAATATAATTTCCCGACCAACAGAATATTTGTGATAGGTGCCTTCACCCCCACCTGCTCCATCAACCATGTCCCCGGCTACATCCAGAACCTTCCTCAGCTGAAGGAGAAGGGCGTGCAAGTCGTTGCCGTGATCGCGTCCAATGATCCTTTTGTCATGAGCGCTTGGGGAAAGGCGAATAATGTCAAAGGTGATGATATTGTGAGTCTTGAAGCCCTCTTGGTATTTACTTTTGTTGTACTCCTGTTCCTTGGCTTATGGTATTTCGATGATAGCTTTTCTTGACTGATCCTGATGCGCGCTTCTCGAACAACCTTGGCTGGGCGAGTGGTGGTCGCACCGGGCGGTTTGCCATTGTCATTGATCATGGCAAGGTGACCTATGCGCAGATTGAGACTGAGAAGGGTGCTGTTAAGGTATGTTCCTCCTTTATCTTTCCGCCTTGTTAGGTGTTGGGAAGTGCATACTGATAGATGTAGGTCTCGGGCGCTGATGCTATCCTGGCGAATTTGTGAATGTTGAGCGTTCACTAGATGGGATGCAGTAGAATCACCATGGTTGCCATTTGTTATGTTCCTTCTTAGCGAGTGAGCAAGATACAAATAGCTAGTCACGAATCTCAAAGCCTTCGAAGATGATTTCTACGTTCTACCACGTTTTGCCGTACGGAGTATTGCAGGGCAGAGTCTAGCGGGTTTCTCCCAATCCTGACTGGACCAACAGAGCTCAGAGCCCATTATATTATTGACCGAAGGTTACATTTTCCACACACTGGAATGCGCATTCACTCACCCCTCAGACCAGAAGTTGGTCCTAACTGACCTTTGTCTGCACCGATTTCTGGCAATGAAGGCTGTCAGCGTCGAATAGGTACGTCTTCTGGAGCGGACGATGGAGCTGGGGGCATCGTGAAAGAAGTAGCAAAAGCCTCAGAAGAATGCATGGACCGAATCACACAGGTCTTTATTATCAACGGGTGGTTATGTGAGTAGTGGCAGCGGAGCATTGGGACCGGCCTATTGCGAAGTTTCCAGGTCATTTGGGGGTAGCATGGTAGCGCTTCACAAGAAGTGACACATGAATCAATATCGTTATTCTTGTCCCTCAAGTACATTTACTGTGCCCCAATTAAACTTGTTGGTACCTATCGCAGGTAGATGAGGAAGGGAATTGCCAGAAGCAAAATGGCACACAACGAAGGTAGTATATGTTCATCTCCAAAGACAGAACCGCAGTGCTAAATTGTATTTGCGCTCGAGTCGGTCAAGAACTAATTCTCATGCGACCATCCATCGATTCGACTCAATTAAGGAACTCTATCTATACTCCGTACCGAGGCAATCCGATCAGCGAGCTAGTCCCACAGCCCATCAGACTATTGCGGTCACCCGGACAAATGGAGAGATAGACAACCGGGTCCTCGCACTAAAATGCTGACAGGATTATCAATCTTAGCCGGACATAAGCATACTGCCTCCGCAGCCAGTAGCAGCACTCAAATGCACCAGCATGCCTTGATTTGAAGCAATAGAAAACCGCCGACCAGGATCGAAGCCAACTGAATGATAAACCCTTCAGGGATCGATGCCTGACGCTAGTCCCTTCTGGGGAAAGTCTCCTATGCCCCTCAGTGATTATTCAGCACTCACCCCCACCAGAGCTTCGCCTGTTTAGTGTTATGATGAAACCCCGCCATGGACCCTTTAAATACGATCCCTTTCCTCACAAAGTAGCAGACTTCATACCCCTCAATTGACATTCAATTAACAAGATAACAATACCTTCAAAATGGCCCCTAAAGTTCTCGTCGTCCTCAGCTCCCACGACCACCACAATGCCAACAACGAACCCACCGGCTGGTTCCTGGTACGCCCTTTCTCCTCCACTTCTCAAGGCCGTACACCCTCACCCACTAACATGATCACAATTCTATAGCCCGAATTCGCCCACCCCTGGGATGTCCTCCACTCCAAGACCGAGCTCGTAATTGCCTCCCCAGCCGGCGGCAAGGCCCCACTGGACCCGGGCTCCATTGAAATGTTCAAGGAGGACCCCGTGTCCCAGAAATTCCTCAAGGAGCAGGAATCCCTCTGGACCAACACCGTCAAGCTGTCGGATGTTGTGTCCCGGGTTTCTGAATTCGATGCCATCTTCTACGTTGGTGGTCATGGACGTATGTATTCCTTCATACCCTACGACTCCCCTCTATAGAGAGAGAGAGAGAGAGAGAGATGCTGAGAAAGGTATAGCCATGTACGACCTCTACAGCGACAAGACCTCCCTGGCCCTTATCCAGGCCTTCGCTGTGGCCAAGAAGCCCGTCGCAGCTGTGTGCCATGGTCCCGCGGTGCTGGTGAACGCTACTACGCCCTCCGGAACCGCGTTGCTGAAGGGTGCCGAGGTCACTGCGTTCTCGAATACCGAGGAGGATCAGGTGCAGTTGAGCTCTATCATGCCGTTTATGTTGGAGGATGAGTTGAAGCGCGTGGGAGCTACGTTTGTCAAGGCTGAGCAGCCGTGGGCTGAGAAGGTGGTCGTGTCGCAGGTTGCTGAGCTCGGTGGTGCAGTGATTACCGGTCAGAACCCGGCTAGTGCAACTGGGGTTGGAAAGGCCATTTTGACGGCTTTGGGGTTGTAAGTGGAGTCTGTGTGATGTGAGGGTTGTAATGGTGGGTTGTTATGGATAATGTAATTCCGACATAATGACAATGATATATCCTATGTTGTTTTACATATCGACTTACGGTGGTGCCAATATTGAGTGTGATTGACAAATCTAATTCTCTCATCTAAAGTTGATCAACAGTATTGCACTTCTGAACGCCCAGACTGTCTCAGGTCATGGAGATACACAGACTTGGGAACCAAGTACACAACGGCAACGCTTTTCAACCCTGCTTGACAAATTGCTCCTGAACCTCCAAACTATGCTTCGCGAACTGACTCTTCGCGCGGATCCGCTCCCCATAAAACACAAACAATAACGGCACACTACAGAACACTGTTGCCAATGCCGCCAACAATGAAGCTGCGACATTCGCTCCCAGCCCGTCAAACATCTGCCGCGTGAAGAGCGGAAATGCCCCCGACATCCCTGCTCGAACCAACTGCACCGCCGCTGTGCCACTCGCTGAATAGCTCAGATAACTATCGGCCAGATAGCCATATAGAACGGTGTCGAATTCATTCAACGCATATCCAATGAACACCAGGGAAAGCGTAGGGACAATCCAGTGGATATTTTCTGCCTGCGGGGGAATCGTCCATGCGAACCACCAGAGCCCAATCGCAAAGGCAGGAGCCCCAATGGCCAGTCCGGTCAGTTTATCTTCTGGTTTGACGGGCTCGGAGGCTGCGTGTTTGGCGTCGATGATTCGAAAGTCGAGGATGCGAGTGAGAGTGCTGAAACAAACACCAACACCCACGGCGAGGAAAGGAAGAGCTGCAGCTGATGGAGTGAAACCCATGCTCTCGTAGATGGGCTGGAGTGCCTCGGTGAAGATATAGACCAACGCGAAGGAGAACGCGATCATCATGGCCATCGTGAAGATGAGAAGCTCACCGAAGAAGAGCTGCAGGGGTCGGAAGAGCGAGACCTTGACGAAGGTGCGGAGGTCAGGGGAGTGATCGTGATTAAGAGGCTGTAGGCTGTCGTGGCCCGTTTCGTGGCGAATGCGTGAGACCTCTTTGGCCAGGAGCAGGGCGGGCCGTGATTCCCGGATGAGCAGGAAGAACGCGCTCATGACAGCCAGGATGATCGTATATATGTAAAACACCCAGCGCCTACTCAGTCAGAGCTTGTCTCGCGAAACGGATCAGAAGACGTACCAGTGTAGGATTTCAACAACAAGGATGCTGATGATTGGACCGATTAGAAGACCGACGTTCGAGGCAATGGTCCAGAGGAAAGTGGTCCAGATGCGAGATCGCGAGTTGAACATGTCCTCATTGCTGCCGCTGCCAACAGTGTATGGAATAGCACTCAAGAAGCCACCGACGATGCGACAGATGACCACGGCGACTAATGAATGAACAAGCCCAATTATTAGGCAACACACCGCACTACCGGTGCTGCTGATAAAATATAGCTTTTTGCGTCCAAAGCACTCGGACCACGGAGGGAAGACAATCGCGCCGACAACCTGCCCCATGAGAAATCTATGAGGTCAGTCAGGTACTATCAGAAGTCTGGAAGAACGTACAATGTCACAAAGCAAAAGGTGCACAAAGTATTTCCAATATTGTATTCACTTTGGGCCTCTGAAGCCGCCGATGTCTATGGTCATTAGAAAGGCCACACTGTTGGATGAGGAACATACCCCAGCAGTACTCGTAGCGGTCCTATGTCTGTTAGCAGTGCATCAACATTGAGGTGTCAACACATACACAAAGAGATCCAGCAGAAAGATCAACCCAATGTCGTACACCTTGCGGGTTGCGCTCCAGTTGCGGGGATGATTCTTGTTGCCCTTTGCCCACCGGACATATTGTCCATCTGGCGTGAACTCCAGGTCATTTTTCAGCAGGTACTCATCCATGTCCTGAGTCCGATTGACGTGGTTCGCTTTTGATGAACCTGCTGTAGTACCCCCTCCGTTTGCCGATTTATAGTCACAGGGGACTATATGTAGTTCGTTCTCAATGGGGGCCATGTCTACCGGACATATCTAAAAGTAGATCGACCTTGGTTTCAGTCGATCATCCCTGTAAGGTGAATCTCCCCTGGTCCGCGACATGTAGTACTTAGATAGTGCGTAGCACGCGTCAGGCTCTGAATGTGGTAGAGGATCATCGTGCATTGAGTTACTTTGCGTGTCCGCCAAAGAGCTTATGTGGATAAAACTCGTTTCCACCCTACCAATCAAGGGGTGCGCCATGATCTGGAGATATGTGCAGGTGATGGCCCAGCACGCAAAAAGAGGCTGAATTGGAAGTTTGGAGCACTGCTGGGGGCACGCGGGGTTTATGGAAACGTATCTCTCGAAGAACTCGAGCATTCATTGGACGGCACTGGGTTGGGGCAAGGAAACCAACGTGATTCTAGGAAAGTGAAAGGAAGACAGTCCAAACTACTGATTGTATGAGAGGAATGCGTGCGCAGCACATTCCAATTGACTGAAATGGACCGATCCATATTCTACGTGGCCAGTGCAGTGGGAGGGCTGCAAGGGACAGGCAGATGACGAGTGATCTGCACAAGGCATTCCGTTCCAGTGTATTGCGGAAATTCTGGAGACAGCAACGGTACTTTATGTGCTTGAGGTGGTTCCCCGGAGTTTTCCTATACTTCATCGGCTGCCTTATGTACCTGGTGCATCTGCCTGTTTCAGAGTGTGGCAAGATCGAATAAGCATCAGCTGGTGTGCGGCCGGTTTAGTGGCTAGCTAGAGTTGCGATGGTGAGTTTGCAGATCGAGAGGTAGAAAGTTCAATATAATCTCCATGATGGTTTCAGTTCCCCTGCTGCTTGTCGTAAAGATGGATTCGTCACAGATGTCCCTCGCAGGCAACTAAAGTGGAGTAGACGCATAATCTTGGTTAACCAGCTCCTGAAGCTGGGGTATAGGAAACGCATCGTGAGCAAGTGTTCCATTGCGAGGAAAAAGAGCCAGGGGCGTAAGTGCAACTACCTGTTCAATAACTTGTGCAGCTCAACCTGTAACATGCAAATGCAGCAGAGCACGCCTCTACTGAATATTCGATTCCTAAGGAGCGTGGGAGGTTGTATTGCAGGCTGTAAGTGGGCATAGACATTGGTGGACCGTCATCGATGGGGAAAGAGCATTGGCTCAACCGGAACAGTGGACGTATGAATGAACGACCACGCGAACGTTACCCTGTCCAGGGAAGTCCCCATATCAAGAAACGACCCTGTGGAATGTTGATGACATCCCAACGGGGCAACTGGTTGGGGCTGGTCCAGCACCCCACATCGGGCAAGCATAAGGGCGATCCCCCCTGAGTTCACCGCCTGCCCTTCCCCCGCCGATTCTGCCGGACCCCGCAGAAGCAGCAGCTGCAGGACATCCCCTCAACACAACATCTTATTAGCCATTCTCCATTATCAGCTACCACTTCTTTCACCGACAGCATGCCCCCTCACGAAGGACTCGTCCACCCCAAAGAATATGACATCAAAGACAGCAATGTCGAATTGATCGGTTCCGACCTTGACCACCGTGTCAAATACAACTCCGCCGCTACCGAGCCCGCTTGGAACAACGGATCCATCGGCCAGGAGCCGGGTCTGTTCGTGTGGAGGATTGAGAACTTCGAGGTTATACCATGGCCCAAGGAGCGGACGGGCGAATTCTACAACGGGGATAGCTACATTGTCCTGCATTCGTACAAGGTGGGGGACAAGCTGGGTCATGACATCTTCTTCTGGCTGGGCAGTAAGACCACCCAGGATGAAGCCGGTACAGCCGCTTACAAGACGGTCGAGCTGGATGAATTTCTGCATGGCACCGCGACGCAGCATCGCGAGATTGAACAGGAGCCATCGGAGGAATTCCTGGGACTGTTCCGGCACATCTCCATCCGGTCGGGCGGCGTGCGATCAGGATTCCACCACGTCGAGCCTGAAGCACCCAAGGAGATCCTGACCTTGCTTCGCGTATTCAAGCATCCCACTGTGGGTCGCTCGATTATCGTGCACGAGGTGGAGCCCACCTGGCAAAGCCTGGACGAGAACGATGTGTTCGTCTTGGACAAGGGTGATAAGATCTGGGTCTGGCAGGGAAAGAACTGCAGCCCCATGGAAAAGGCCAAGGCTGCGCAGGTGGTCAATGATATGACGCTGGCTAAGCATATTGATGTCGAGGTTCTGTCCCAGCTCGAGTCGCGCTCCAGGGTCATTGTGGACTTGCTGGGAGGCAAGGAGGCCGACCCGGCCACATTCCAGGCTCCGCGACCGGGGCGTTTTGCCAAACGCACGGACGAGGGCAGCGATGTGCGGTCACGCAAGCTCTTTAGACTGAGTGACTCGTCCGGCACACTCACCTTCGACCTGGTCAAAGATGGCCAGCGTGTGAGCAAATCTGACTTGGTTGGAAACGATGTTTTCCTCTACGATGTCGGCAACAGGCTGTGGGTCTGGCAGGGATCCGAGGCCAGCCAGCGTGAGAAAGCGCTGTGGCTCAAGGTTGCCCAACACTACGTCCGTCAGCTGCAAAACCAACTCCCAGAGGCACACTACATCCCGATCGCCAAGGTCGTGGAGGGCTACGAGAGCCCAGCGTTCATGAGAGCCATCGAGGCCTAGGTATGTTGCTGTATAGGCCATAATTTTGTAACAAATATATGCCACTCTTCTTGTATAGCTGAAAGAAGCATTCACTATTCCGGACACAGAATATCGGAGCGGCAGGTTCAGCCCGAATAGTCCAGTGTCTAGGGCAGTATATGCCAGCATTAGGCCAGTACATCAGAACCTCGAACAATTGATGCCCTAGGCCACATCAAATAATATTGGAAAAATAATCTAATAAGCACTTCGTTCTAAAAGAACGCGACTGCCGTTCGCCACAAAAGCAGCCGATCACCGAGTAACTCCAAACTCCGCATTGTACACCAGCAGTCCGGAACCCCCGTTTATACATCCTCTTATTCCCTAAGCCAACCGTAGCTGTATAAAGAACTGTCAGCACAGACGAATCAACAGATCACCCGATCATCATCCACATACCTTATCCTCGAATCTACCATCTCCCTCTTCGTCCCCCGCCAAATCCCCCTCTGCCACCAGGCGGCCCAAACCCTCCTCCTCTCCGCCCACCAAAGCCACCACCAGGAGGACCGTGTGGTCTTCCGTAGGAATGCATCGGCATGCCCCCGCCACCACCGTAGTGCGGGCGCGGGGGAGGATACCCGTAGCCACCGCCCATACCCATGCTAGGGTATGTCCGCCGGTTGCGGCCCATGAGAGACATGCACAGGCCCATGGTAGTATTGTTGGGGTTTTAAACGTAGGATTTGGAATAATACAAGATTTAGATTATTTTTTCAGAGTGGTTGGAAAGGAATTATGTCTTTGTTGAACTGAAATGGACCTGGTGTTTGAGTAGGTAGGGCAAGGGATAAATACAGGCCTCGTCAGTCATGGCGTCATCCATCAGCC